TTCGTCAGATGCATGTAGTGGAAATTTCCAGAGGCAGGTAAATTTCCACTACATGCATCCGACGAAGTGGGTATTCTCCCACAAAAGCTTATGCTCCAATAGGTCTGTTAGTCTATAAGGTGCCACAGGACGCTTTTCCACTTTTACAGATCCAGACTAACACGGCTCCCCGTCTGATACCAGACACACTTCGTTTCAGTTTCCTGGACATGGCAACTTTGTCTACAGAGATGCCGCATGTATCACTGCAGAGTCATTTTCCAGCTCTATTCTATTCCTCCCTCGGGTGCCTTAAAAGCCTGTGGGATTTTAGACCAGAAATCACAGGCCTGAAGCTGGCACCCCAGCCCCAATAAACTTCCCTCTAGGGAAAGTGAAAGGCCTCCTGGGAGAATGGAACAAAAATCCCTTTGTCAAGGGCTCACTCAGGAGCTAAGCCATAAAAGTCCCTATCTGTGTCAGGTCTCTTGTTTAAGAGAGATTAGGGTAATTGCTCTGATCTGCCCTGATGGTATCACGGGTTGTGGGAATTGCATGATCTGTTTCATGGAAAGCAGAACAATAAAAAAGGCTCAAAGGAGGGAAGGGAAGGAGCTGGGGGTCCTGATGAAAGGAAAGCCATAAGGAGGCTGATGTCCCCTACATGTGTGCGTGACGCCCCCCAGTGATGTGGTGGCCAGATGCTATGTGGAGCAAGTGTGATGGTTGGGGATGTGGCTGCAGAGGGCAAAGGTCATTGTCTCTTTCGGGAGGCAGGGCTTAGAACTACAGGGAGCATCTGGCCTGGGTGGCTGTTATGTCCATCAATGGCTGTTAGCCAAGATGGTCAGGGATGAAAATCCTTACTCTGGGTGTCCCTAGCCTCTGTTTGCCAGAAGCTGGGAATGGGCAACAGGGGATGGATCACTTGACGATTCCCTGTTCTGTTCATTCCCTCTGGGGCACCTGGCACTGGCCACTGTCGGAAGACGGGATACTGGGCTAGATGGGCCATTGGCCATTCTTGTGTTCTTATATTACATTTGTGTGCAGTGTTTAAATAGTATCGTAGAAATGCTGGGCTGGAGGGGACCTCAAGAGGACATCAAGTCCAGCCCTGTGCTGAGGCAAGGCCAATTAAACCTGGAGACTATCCCAACCTGTTCTTCAAACCCTCCAGGGGCAGAAATTCCCCAACCTCCTTTGGAAGGCTGTTCCAGAGTATAACCACCCACCCTTAGATCAATAACTGCAGTGTTCAATGCAAGCTGTTCGTGCTGTTATAAGGAGAATGACACAGGCACGGGATGGGCCTAGATAAAACACTGAGGGGTAGAAACTAGGATTGACCCAAGGGAGGGGATTGGAGAGCTGCTAGCACTCATCAGCTCTTGGTAGCAGCAGTGGGTGGAATTGACCCATGGGCATCTCACCCGAGCCCCTTTGCACAGCCTTCCAGGGCTTGGGTGGTGCTGGGTGGTTTCACCCCTCTGGGAAGGTTTCCACGAGGCCCTGGTTGAAGAATACTGCCCTTCTCCACATTTGCCCTGTGGCTGCCAGGCTCCAAGACAGCAGCTGCATGTTGGAATGGGGGCCAGGATCCTGGCCCATGTGGGAGCCTGGGGCCCCCACATTACCCTGCAGCATGGCTGTCACTGGTGATTTCATCACTCTAGTGAGGTGGGGCTGGAGTCCATCTGGCCATGACCCACCCCAGCCAGCCATGGGGAAAACCTGCTCTCACATGGATGCTCTCACATGGATGCAGGCCTCGTTGAAGCCAATTTGGATGGACAAGTGTAACTGAGAGCAGAATTTGGCCCAGTTGTACAAATGCAAACCAGGGTTTGTTAATGCAACACATTATTGCAAAGGAACAAATCCGCCTCTGCCAGTTGCACCATGTAACTGAGATAAATAGAATTTGCCCCACGGTGTTTGTCAGACCCGATGGGAAAAATCAAATGCCAGTTCAGACCCTCCATTGGTGTAAATGGGTGTAGTGCTTCAATGGATGTGTGTCAGTTCATACCCACTGAGCATCTCCCCCATAGGTTCTTCTCCATGAGCATGGCAAGGCAGAAATCCCAGATCCCCCTGAAGACCATAACACAGAATAAGATGCTGGGAAATGGGTTAGAACAACTCAGCCAATTTGACTTCTCCTCATCTATACAGAACCAGACACCTCACTGAATTCCCCAAGCTCACATCTCTCCATTAACCTGGGTCAGGGCTGGATTTACACCTTACATGTCCCTAGGCACAGCACCGTCTGTGCCCCCCCCCCCCTAGAGCTGATCTTCTTGTTTTCCATAAAAAATAAAACTTTTAACTTTTAGGCGCTCCTAGAATGAGGGCGCCCCTAGGCACGTGCCTACTGTGCCTAATTGGAAATCTGGCCCTGACCTGGTTGAGGGACCGTGTTTGGTGAACTGATGCTTCTTTCTGCGGTCCTGCAAACACTTTGGGCTGAATTCTGTTAGTCTCAGCCACTTGGTGCGACTGGGGCTGAAGTGAATAGTTGGGAAAGACACCAGAATTTGGTCCTGCATATATAAAAATAACATTGGAGCACTGGCCGGATCATACTGTTGGCCTGTCTGGTCCAGTAGCCTGTCTCTCTCGGTGCCTTTAGCAGATACTTCCAAGGCTATTTGTCCCAAATCCTCAGCGCTATTTAGGTGCCTAACTCACATCAATTTCAGAGGGAGTAAGGTGCCAAAATATCTTTGATTTCCTAACTGCAGGTAGTTAATGATGGGCCAGAGCTGCTGCTGCTTGTTTTTCTTAATCCTAGAAGCAGTGAGGTTTTACATCCCTTCTAGCTAGCGGTGTTCCTATTATCCATACAAATGCCTAAGCCTTTCTGAAATCCTAGTAAGCTCTTCGCCTCAATAAAATCCTTTGGCATCAGGTTCCATAGTTCATTGTAGATAAAACTGAAGGGTGTATTGTGCTCTCTTTGCTGCTGCTGAGACTTGGGGACACTACCTCGCATTTGCAAGTGACAAGTTTGCTGTTCTCCAGAATATTTCAGGTTTTCTTTCTTACTCTGAAACCTGTTGCATTTTCTACACGTGTATAAAAAATTATTTAAAAGACAGTGGATGACAGAGATAGAAAGAAAAACTGAGGGCTAGTCTTGCTTGGAGGGGATGGTCTTTTGACAGGTTTATCTTTTAAAACCATAATTACAATCAGAAACCCCTCATCTAACTATCTATACACACCTGTCAAAAGCAAGTTAATTCACCTTCCACTCACCGTGTGGGGCAGGGGATTGCATGCAGCACATGTGGTTGGAAACAAGCAAACTAACCCAAGTCAGGTTGGTTGGAGATGGGAATGAGATGTAGGAAGGGGGAAAAGTTGGCAATAGCAGCCCAGGTGCTACAGAAGGGAGATCTGCAATTATTGAGAGACACCTCAGAACAGAAAAGGAGGACTTGTGGCACCTTAGAGATTAACAAATTTATCTGAGCATGAGCTTTCGTGAGCTACAGCTCACTTCATCGGATGCATGCAGCGGAAAGGTTCCTGCAGCTCCCACACAAGCTGTGCTGGATAGGAACGCACAGCACAGCGTAGCATCTGAGCACTTCGCAAACGTTCGTGAACTGATGTCCACAGCCACCCGGAAAGGTATAGAAGGGCTGTTGTCCCCACTTTACAGATGAGGGAGCTGAAATATTTTTGATGTGTTGACAGGATTTAGGTACCTAATTACCACTGAATTCCTAGAAGCTTTGGACAGTAAGGCCCAGATATCAATGGAAGTTAGGTGTCTAAATACCTGTCAGGATTTGGGTCTAATTTCCTGGGGTTCCCCTTGAAAATCCTAACATAAGTGACTTGCCAAAGGTCCTACAGGGAGTTTGTAGCAGAACTAGGATTTGAACCTAGGTCCCACAAGTCACAGGCCAGCATGTGGGCCACAATCCCAACGTTGCTCTCCTCTGGCTGGGAGACAGGTATTCTGCAAGTCTGAAGGAGAAAACACCTGTTCTCAGGAGCCCAGCACCCTGATTGCAAACCCAAGTGGCTTAGACAGTTTGGTTCTGATAATCCAAAAGCTGCAGATTTGAAAGGGACTGAAATATTTTTTTACTTTTATTTATTATATTTACTTTTCCCCTCCATGCATAGTTAAACTGTGCGACGCACTGCCGCAAGATGCCACCGAGGCCAAGCGGATTCCAAAGAGAATAGACATGGATATGGATAACAAGTGCAAGTTATTGTAGACAGGATAAAAATATATAAGTAATGTAAACCCTGATGCCTCTGGGAATAAATCAACCAGAGAGGGCCAGATTTTCAATAGAGACCAGCATCCACTGAGGCTCTCCACACTCACACTGAGAACAATAGAGAACACGCTCCACTCCTATTGAGAATAATGTGAGATGCTTGGTACTTTTTGAAATGTGGCCATTTTATTCAGCTGTCAAAGTGGAAGCGGAGCTCGTTGGAAATTCCCAATGGGAGTTAGGTGCCTAAATACCTCTGCATCTGGGCCTATCTGCAATTTCCCCTGAGGGTTGGTTATTCCATAACTGTCCAAGAATGGGATTCCTTGAGTGTCCCCCTGAAGCAGCTCCTACTGGCCACTATCAGAGACAGGATACTGGACTGGGTGGACTATTAATAAAGTCAAATCCTTTGTGTCCTTGTGTATCCTCAGCTTCACTGCTTCTCCTGCATAGCTGCTGAGTTAGTTTCTCTGCTGTTCCTGAGGGGTTTTATACAATCACAGGGGAGCAAACCCCCTAAACGATAGGCAGGTATGATTGTTAAACCACACACATGGGCAGCCCCTGCAAGGGGTCTGAGCTCAGCTTTCGAAACTGATGGGAGCCCCTTTAACTGCCTCTTCTGAAAGCCCCTGCGTTGGAGGCTGCCTGTCCTGGGTAAAGGGGTGGGGAGCCAGGTGACTGATTCCCACCCACTCAGCCGAGAGAGGGAGCTGAGGCCAGAGAACAAGAGGCTGGTAGAACAGGCTTCTGAGCAGGGAGTCGCCCCTGAAAACCAGGGCAACTTGGTGCAGCGAGCGCGGGGGGCTGAACCCAGAGCAAGCGGCCAGCCAGGCTGGGGCAGACGCCGGCTCCCGCCCGCGCCGGCTGCCTTTTGGGAGGTGCGGCTAATAGGCAAATTACAGCTCTCCGCGCCTGTCCAGGTAGATAAGAGACCATGTGACACGCCCCGGCCGGGAGCAGGCTGCAGGCTGGGGCAAGGTGCGCAGGGCAGGGGCAGGAGCCGGGGCAGGGGCTCCCTTTCCACTTCCTCCGGGCGCCTCAAATCTGCGTCCTGTGCAGAGTGGGGCTTGAACCTGGCTTGATGTCTGGGGAAGTTCCCCCCCTTCTCTGAAAGCCAGGGGAAGCCGGGATGTCTTTGAACAGGAAGAACTGGTCTGCGCTCTCTAGGTAGGCGCTGGGGTTTGATGGTTACCGCTTTCCGGCGGGGGTGGGCTCGGGGGGAAGGCAGGGTGGCAGGTGGGGATGCAGAAGGGGCCGTGCTCGCTGGCAGGGAAGGAGGGTAGCCGGCGTGACTTCGAGCTGGGTAGGGCGAAGCCAGCCCTGCAGAGCCTAGAGGGCTCTCGAGTTTCAGAGGGACACAAGCAGCCGTCTGTGCTGCTGGAACGAGGGGTGCTCTTGCACCCCCTGGCTTGAAGAGGTTTCCATTAGATCCTGGCTTTGCAGCTGGGTTCAGTGTCTCTCAGCACCACCGCGGCACAAACTGTTCCTGCGAGCAGCAGCTGAAGGGGGAGAGAGGGACCCTAATGCCACCCCCCCCCCCCCCCCGGAGAAGTGAGCTGTGCAGCGAAGGTGAATGGAGCAGTTCTGCCCTGGGAAGTGACTCTAACCAGGCTGTGAAGGAGTCCTGTATTCACAGGTGGCACCCCAGCCACCATGGCTCTAATCGGCTCTGTTTACTGGCAGCTGGGTTTCTAGCTCCCTACAAGCTCATCCCGGGTTAGAGAGCGGAGCCACTGTCCTGAGTGCTCCTGCAGGGTGTCCGCTCGCAAAGGGAGCAGACTGCTGGCCCTGGGTCTGTGCAGCGCCCTGGGGCTGGTCTCCTGGTGTGGAGACTTCTAGATGCTGGTGCGACACAACTCAGAACAACAACCAAGGTCTGTGTGTGCTGGAAAGCTGGTCTCTTTCACCAATGGAACTGGTCGAACAAAAGATCCTGCCTCCCCCATCTTGTCATGGTATTTAGGCACCCAACGCCCACTGAAATGTCATTGATTTCAATGGGAGTTAAGTAGGTAAATACCTTTACAAATCTGCCTCTTAGTCGCTCTGTGACTCAGTTTCTCATTTGTACAATGGGGATAATAGTGCTGCCGGAGTAGATGTATTATTGGGGGAGGAGGGGGGACACACTTCAAACAGAAGTTTGGGGCTTGATGGATGAGGTTCTCTAGCTTGTGTGATGCAGGAAGTCAAACTACATCAGCATAATGTGCCCTTCTGGTCTTGAAATCAATGATTCACTTGGAATTGCTCATGTGATTGTAAAATCTGTGATTCTTCTTCTCCCCCCCCCCCACCCCTGGGGTGGCTAGTTTCCACCAGACGCCCAATTAGGGAACTGAAAGTCACACACTGAAGTGGCTCCCTGTGTCAGGGTACCTGGTCCCCACTGAACAAGGGGGTTAACCTTAGCTCTGCTTCCCCCTCCTTTAGCCCCGCTGATCACGGAGGGGAAAGGGCTATATACTGGTGGTTTGGGAGGATGCTTTGGGGGAAGATTCCACCCCCAAGGGCCATAGAACTGGTGTGACTCCCATGCTGGGGAATCTTTCTGTAGTTCTCTTTCTTATGGTAAAGTCTTTTGATTTCTGGTTATAAACATTATCCCTGCAGGGAAAGCCTGTGCTGGCTTCTGCTGAGTTATTCTACCAGCGTACATGAATGAATATTATTATTTACATTGTAGTAGTGCCCAAGACACTAGTTAGGACGGGGGCCTTGTTATGGTAGGTGCTGCACATACAAAGGAAGAGAAAATTCCTGCCCTGAAAAAGCTCACTGTCTAAAACGGACAGGGCAGACTGAACAAATTGCTCCCTGTGACTAATATTGAATATACAGGTTAGTGCCACAAAGCCAGAGGGATTGTTTCTGTTCCCTCATTGAATGAGACGTAACTACCAAAAACGACACACAATTCATGAACAGTCAACCTGTATCTGTAGACGAGGAATTATTCATGGCAGAAATGTGCAAATACTTTCTGATGATGAATAATTGGGAGAGTCTTAAAATGGGGTGGGGGGGAGAAATAAGATGCATTGAATAGTGTAGTCCCATTGTGGATTATTTAATCAGCTATAGTTAATAATTCTCTTGATGGTGCGTGAGCCAGAACAGAATACAGCTCACGAATCAACAGCCACTTTGGCTCTGTGGGGTTAAAAGGCATATAAAATACAACCAGCTTATTTTCATCAAAGAAGGGTGAAATGCACCCATGTGCAGAGGCCCAGGAAGAGCCCTACAGCCGACTTAAACAATCCATCAGAAATTGGTCAATAACGGAGGGAAAACAGTTTTACAAAAATCAACATTTCAAAATTGTTTCCATTTGGCAGGGTTTGAAACTGACCCATAGGGTGTCTCTCTTATGTGTGAAATTGTCCATGATAGTTCTACCAAAATAACTTATTGAAGATTTTATTAATGTTTATACTTAATCACGTTTGAATCTTACCAAAAACCCAGAACGAAGGCTTTGGTACGAGAGACTTTTGAAAACAATTTCTAAAATATGATTAAGTAAATTTGTAGGGTGGGGAAAAGCCTCTTGGGAGGAAAATAATCTTGGATAAACTTTTCATGCAAACATTTTCAACCAGCTCTAATATGAGCTTAGGTAGGTCTGTAAGTGCACCATAGACCTGGTTCTGGCCCTCTCCAGAGGGGTGGATTTCTCTCTAAGAGCCTTCTAGTTAAGGCTCCAATCCTGCAAAAGCTTATGCACATGCTTAACGTGATCACAGCTGCAACTAGTAGTAATAATAATACCTAGCTCAATAATAGATCTCCAAGTGCTTTACAAAGGAGGTCACTGGTATTATCCCCATTTTACAGCTGGAGAAACTGAGGCAAAGGAAAGTGACCTTGCCCAAGATCAGCCAAAAGCTAGTGGCAGCTCTGGGAATAGAATCTAGATCTCCTGAGTCCCATGCCAGCACTCTATCTACTTGGCAACAATGTCAAGTCAATACTATCAGGTTTATAAATGCTTGCGGGACCTAAATGTGCAACTGGCGATCAGTACGATGACTGTGCAGTAGAGCACAAGCTTGCACACCTAAGCAACTGATTGTGAGCACAAAAGGCCTGATCTAAAGCCTGGTGATCTCCATGGGATTGGGATCAGGCCCAAAATGCAGTCTGGAAACCCTAGCTGTGTGTGCAGTAATTTGAAGACGTGCAAAGCACTGTCAGCAGGATTACACGGTAGCAGGCTTTCGTTTTCTTCTTTTAGTTAAGAAGGCAGGAGGGTCAACTTGCTTCCAAAGTGCAAGGGCTACAGGACTGAATGCCGGGAGATTAGATCTGGCTCTGAATCACTTGTAGGGAAGTTTGGTCACAATGTCTAGTGAACATTGTATCTTTCAGAATCGGGTTATTGTAAAAGAGGGTGGGGCTATCTTTTTGCATTTGAAAAAAACAACACAAAGGGAAGGGTGCATGACTCATGCATGCTACAGTAACCAGCTCATTCAGTTCCTTCCCTCAAATTCTGGTGCCATTTCTCCTCCTCTTTTTCCAAGGGAGGGCAGGTAACTTTCTACCTAGAAAGTCAGGTTTGAAAGGTCTGGGGCTGAGACTTGTAGCTACTTAAATGCTCTTCTCCCCTCCCACCCCACTGGCTCTCTGCTTCTGCTTTTCTCCTCACCCTGTCACTCGAGCTTTCTCCTTTCCTGCCCCACACCTTGCAGCCCGGGAATGGGGAGTTGGGCAGAGAGGAAATGTGCACTTGTGTAAAGGTAGATCACTGGCATGGCAATTTTTAACCCACACAGTGTGACAGCTACAACTCACGGGGTTTCCAATGGCACGAATGCTAGTCTAGGCCTGATTCTGATCCCACTGACTCCAACGGGATCAGGATTGGGCCCACTTCCTCTTGAATGTTTTAAATGTAAAATGTGGCCTCAAGTTCAGAGTCGGCAAAAACCAAGCTTATACTAAGTCATCAACCACATGCTGTTCCCATAATCTTACTATCTATCTTTTTTTAATATACTCTAGTGGAAACACTTGCTCACTTTTTTTTTTTTTTAACACAAGCATATTCCCAGGAAGAGGTTGCAGCTCACAGCACTGCAGTGCTGTGAAATGCATAAGCATTGTAGAGGGCAGGCCAGGGCACTCCAGCTATGGTCTGTGGATTGCTGTTGGTCAGAGAAACACTTGCTGGTGGTCTGTAGAGACCTAGCTGGCCACCTGATGCTGGCCTCTCCTGTTTGTTTCTTGCAACTGCATTGCATTTAAAGACCGACAAAAATACATCCATACCACATTGCCACTTAAATGTCTAGTTTCCACTGGGCCATTACACAAGCATGAATGGCAGGGGAGGTGGTGAGCGTATCAACTGATGAATGAAGCTGTGGCCTACACTATTAAAATGTCGGAGATCTCCTGTAAAGAAGGAAATTGATTATAAGCAAAAATGAAACTGATTTGTGATTTCATTGTTTGAGGGCTTATCTGGGTGGGGAAGTTCCACCTGTTATAAACTGGTATAATTATGCTGGTATTACTTAAACGGATTGCATTATATTGCTATAGTTCCCTATGTGGCCGCTCCTACTCTGGAATAGGAGTGGCTTTGTCAACTTAAACCCCTTCCAAAGCAACGTAAACCAAACTGAGGCTTTGTCTACACTACATAAGAACGGCCACACTGGGTCAGACCAAAGGTCCATCCAGCCACGTATCCTGTCTACCGAGAGTGGCCAATGCCAGGTGCCCCAGAGGGAGTGAACCTAATGGGTAATGATCTAGTGATCTCTCTCCTGCCATCCATCTCCACCCTCTGACAAACAGAGGCTAGGGACACCATTCCTTACCCACCCTGGCTAATAGCCATTAATGGACTTAACCTCCATTAATTTATCCAGTTCTCTTTTAAACCCTGTTATAGTTTTGGCCTTCACAACCTCCTCAGGCAAGGAGTTCCACAGGTTGACTGTGCGCTGAGTGAAGAAGAACTTCCTTTTATTTATTTTAAACCTGCTACCTATTAATTTCATTTGATGGCCCCTAGTTCTTATATTCTGGGAACAAGTAAATAACTTTTCCTTATTCACTTTCTCCACACGACTCATGATTTTATAGACCTCTATCATATCCCACCTTAGTCTCCTCTTTTCCAAGCTGAAAAGTCCCAGCCTCTTTAATCTCTCCTCAGTTCCAAACCCCTAATAATTTTTGTTGCCCTTTTCTGAACCTTTTCTAATGCCAGTATATCTTTTCTGAAATGAGGGGACCACATCTGTACTCTTATACCAGAATTAGGCCTGGGCTACACGGGGGCGGGGGTTGAACTAAGTATCTTAGTTTGACTCACCTGGCCGTCCTCACAGCGCTGAGTTGACCATGGCGGCTCCCTAGTCAACTCCGCTTACTCCTCCTGCTGAGGTGGAGTACAGGCGTCAATGCGATATATCGATCCCCGATAGAACGATCGCTGCCCGCCGAATCGGCAGGCAGTGAAGACATATCCTAAGAGTGTCCACTTGAGACATTCTCTTGGTTTAAATTCAAACCTCTGGTTATACCCGTATAACTTTTCTGTGTAGATGAGCCCTGCGCTGAGTCGTGCAAAAGGTCAACAAACAGCATCTGTGGTGGAAAACCAATTTGATTTTTAAAATTCTTTGTTTTAATGATCTTGGCATTATTTGCAGCACAGCGTGGGACCATGTGTGTGTGTGAGCTGAAAAAAATGCCAATTATTTTTGGTGGAAAATTTCAAAATGTCAGTGGGGGTGGGGGAATAAAAACTATAACAAATATTTTTCTTAGTGTCAAAAGCTTTAATTTTTTTTTAAACATTTTTACTGAACTACAGTTTGTCCTTAAAAACTGAAAATCTTTTACCAAAAGGATATTTTTTTTCAGCAAAAAAAAAATCACTTTGGTTGGAAAGCCACTTTTCAGTTCTTTGGGGTGTGTATGTGATGATGGAATGTTAATGACCTCTAATTCCAGGCAGAACTGGTAATGACGGTTGCCTGACACCTTCCATTAGAAGAGCTTGTTTTTTAGTTACTTGTAACTTTTTACCATACTTCTGATATGAAAAATTTTAGTCTGAATGGCTGGAGTCTACCTCTGTCTGAATTGTGTGTCTTTGTAAGTTTAAGGGAAAAGGGTTCAGTCATTTCTGGGGGGGAGAAGAGGAAAACATTTTTGCCCATTATTAAAATAAATAAATAAATCTTACAACTCTTTCTTTAAGGAGCTCTAACACCAACATGGTTGGAGCAGGGCCTTGGAAATTTGGCAGGGAGTTGGCCTCTATGCCAGGGTGGTAGGTGTTGCTCTTCCTGTGAAAATCCACCCAGACTTGGCCAAGTTATAAGCTTCTAGAAACATCCAAGTTTAACAAACCTCTAGTGAACAGTGTTGTTCTCCAAAAATACTGTTTGGACTGAGTATATGCCATCTGCCACGGAGCATGCATCAGCCCAGGGATTGAGCGGGACTTGTCCTGCAATTGGCTGTCAGGGACGGCAAAAAGTACCAGGTGCAGGATCTGAGAGCAGGGAATCTGTCTCCTGTGCTCACAATGTCCCTCCCTGCTGGTTCCTAGGAGAAGCCAGAAGTTTCCTTCCTGTAATGTGGAGGAGTGAGGAGCAGAGACTCCCAAAACAGATGGGGAAGTGGGGTTGGTGGGGAGGGAGGGAGGGATTCTTGCTAGAAGCAGGTGTGATGACAGGGAAAGAGTGTGTGCGCACTAGAGCAGGTTCCCCTACAGGCCTTGGACTGGAAGCCCAGATTCCAGAGTTCTAACCTTGCTGATGACCCAAATTGGGAGACCGTACGATATCATGTGATGGAACTTCTGGTTTGCTTATATCAAACTTAAGGATTTAAAAAATGTAACTTCTCTACATTAAAGGAACACTACCGTTCAAAGTCAAGCGCTTAATTCAGGAATTTCCTAATGTTTACAGTAGCCTGTTCCCATGTAGGTGTCAGGATTACACATCACCCGTGATTAGATCTGTGTAATCCACTTTGTATTTCGGCTCCTGTTTTCCATCCTGCCGCAGCCGATACCCACTGGGGCGGGACCCGGCCATGTATCTGAATGGGATGCTGTGCCGCTGGCCAATTTCACGCTGCTGTACAGCTCCTCCTTGACCCCTGGGCTGATCGCTTGCTCTCTGCCAGCTCCGAGAGAGGTACCCTGGTTGCTGTGCTCCGACAGTGACCCAGCCCACTAGTATCTGACTGGCACGTTCTTGTATGCAGTGTTGTAGCCATGTTAGCCCCAGGATATTAACGGCAAGGTGGGTAATCTCTTTTATGGGACCCATTTCTGCTGGGGAGAGAGACTAATAAAAGAGATTACCTCACTTACCTTGTCTCTGGCACACCCTTGTCTCCTTTCCAAGCAGCCTGGCCAGGCAGAGGACTCTTGAGGATGAGGAGGAACAAGCGAGAGAACGCCGGCGGAGAGACCGCAACCTGAGCTCCACCACTGATGCGGAGGATGAAGCCCTTTGCCCTGTGCAGGATACCAACAAGCAGGCAGTGGAGAGGTGAGGGAGGAGAGCGGTTGTTCCCTGGGACTGCAGTGCCGGCATCGCCCAGAATGCTGCACATCCACCCAGCTTGTCTTGCTCTGCCGGGCCTGAGCCAAAACCCACATCTCAGTGGGAGTCCTCCCATTAAACGGGTTTTGTATCAGGGCCGCAGGGTCAGGCAGTTTCAATTCATGGTTCTGAGAAGCAGAAGGGTCTAGTGGCTAGAGCAGGAGACTCTAGGGTGTTAGGACTCCTGGGTTCTGTTCCTGACTCTGCCCCCTGTGCCTCAGTTTCCCCAAGTGTAACGTGGGGATAACGATATGCTGTTTTGCCGATCATGTTGAGAGCCATGGAGGACCGATGCAACAGAATGATTAATCACTGTTGCTTATGTTAGAAAGCTGAAGGCTAAGATCTTCAAAGCAGTCCAGGGGCATTAGACACACATTCCACTGAAATTACCCATCCAAATCCCCCGGACTCCTCTGAAAATCTTACCCCCCCCATATTTTAATTTGAATCTACTGGTATAAATACCTTCCTCCAGCTGCTCTCCAAACCCCTTTCTTCCTCGCCCCTCGGGGTAGTTGCCCCTCCCGAGACGAAGGGTAGGATCCTGCCCTCTTCAGAGCAAGACAAGGCTGCTCTGGATGCTGTACCCAGGAGACTAGAGCAAGTGGCTCTACCTCCCCATGGTGCTAGCTCGGTGCTACCAGGGCCAAGGGATGGAGGCTGATCTGGGATGCGGAGCCCCCACAATGCTCAGCCACCATAAGCTGCATAGGACCACACCGGTACCTAACCTACGCCTGCAGAATATGGATTCAAAGGGGGGGTAACAGTACATGCAGGGTGCCCTGGGATAAAAGGGGGGCGGGGGGCTCTGTAGGTGTTAATCGGGCATCTCTCATCTGGGCTGGATTCACTTGCTGTCTAACAAGCAGCCTGCCAGCGCCCCTGGGTGTACAAGGCTGTCAGTGCCTTCTCTCTGTCGCTGCAGGCTACTGCGGCTCAAGGAAGCCGAGCCACCAGCGGCAGCCACGGCCGAAGAGGAGATGACCGAGCGGAAGCTCACTGCAGTGCTGAGACCACAAGAGATCAGGAGGCAGAGGTGGCAGGTGAAGAGCTCAGGAAACCTCAGAAAGGAGAAGGAGCAGCCAGAGAACTGCAGGGAGCCAGACGTGGGAGCAGGCCACCTGGAGGCAGCCCCGTGTCAGGAGTCAGCTCTGGGTGGGAAAGCCCTGGCAGGGGAACAGCACCAGGGGGTGGCCCAGGAGCCAACGGGCCCGAAGGCAGAACAATGTCCAGAGTCGGCTCCGGAGCAGAAGGTCCTGGTAGGAGAATGGCATCAGGGGTCGGCTCAGGATGAGAAGGACCTGATAGCTGACGAGCCCCCGCAGGAGCCAGAGGTGACAGGAGGCCAGCCCCAGGGATCGGCTCAGGAGCAGAAAGACCGTAGTCACCTGGAGGTGAAAGTCTTCTCAAGGGGAGGAAGCCACATAGAACAGAAACCAGACTCCCCGGTTACTCGCCCCTCCAGCCAGCAGGTGAGAGACAAGGCACTTTACCAGCCGTCTCACGATACTTGGGGGTTTTCCCTAAAAGCCCCAGCTCCTGGAGTCAGGCCCCAGATCCTCAACGGGAGTGAGGTGCCTCTGAGGAGCTGGCCCATGTAACTTTGTGAGTATCCTGGCTTCTGTTTAAAAAGGAGCCGGCATCTAACCTTCTGGAGAAAAGCTTGAAAATGTGAAGTGGGGGCGACCCAAAGGCTCCAATGCTAGATGGCAAAGAGCCTGGGACACATTAATTTAAAAATCATGACTTGGATCCTGGGCTTGGTGATGCTGCATTTGAGCCTGGAAAGCGCTGTGCTGCAAAGGGGGAAAGGGATGCGGGAGGGGATGTTGCTTCCCCAACCCTAAACTCTGCCTCTAGATGAGGTAGCCCCAGGACCCACTTCCCCTCACTGAGCCAGACTTTGAACCCTCTCCTAGGCAAACCCCCCATTGGCCTTGCTGGTGATTTGGCCTAGGGAGGAGGTTGGGGTTTGGCCCATCCAGTCGGGGTTCCTGTGGTCTGGGCTGTTCGGGCGCTTGGTGGATCTGCTGAGCCCCAGAGTGTTGCTCTCACAGCCATGGCTTGAAACCTTCCTGCTGGCTCTTGACTTGTGTGTGTGTGTTCCTTCCTCAGGATACAGCAAGGAATCCCCCCCAGGCTCAGAAAGCAGCAGGGTCGCCCTCCACCCACGACAGACCCGGAGGCTCCTCGGCTGCTTCCCCCACTCAGGTCACCTACAGCAGCTCTTTCAAACGCATCAGCCCGAGGACGGTCTCTTTCCGGGTGAGTGCTGACACGGGCAGGGAAATGTGGCCTTCCAGGCAGTGGACTCCGAGTTTATTCTAGCTGTATGGGGGAGGCTCCCTCCAGCTGTCCTCAGCAGGAGTAGTTTGCTCAATTCTGCAGGCTGGGGGGCTTGCAGAGTCCGTTCCAGTGGGCACAGAGATCCAATCCCAGGTTTTCTCCTTTTGAGGCCGCATCTAGAGTCCAGGTGGATAGAGCATAGGAGGCAGAGGCTCTTCCATGTGGGTGCTGCGGTCCTGCTCAGATTATTTTCCCTATGGGTGCAGAAATCCAGTCCAGGTCTTTTCCTTCCCATTGTTACTTAGAATCTGCTCCAGCTGGGGTCAGGTTATTCCCAGATCTCCTCCTCCTTGTGACATTTACTGGAGAAGATGGCCGGGTTGTGTGTGTTCTGCACCCATGGGTGGGAGACTTGGGAAGCCCCATTAAAAGGATCCAGGGGAGCATGGAAGTTTGGAGAAGCTGGAATTGAAGCTCTTGGTCCCATGGGCCATAGAGGCGCTGCTGGTATCTGCAAAGGGCAGTGCCCAGACAAATCTCTGGTCATGGCTCTGCCTCAGGTTCCCCAAAAGGGTCTTGCAGTGCGGGCCATGTTCTTTCCTGCTGCAGCTCCAATAAGGGTGGCCCCAGGGGTCTATGAACACAGCATGCAAGCTGCTAGCATTGTCTGTCCTGTGTCTTCAGTCTTCGCATTGCAGAATTCTGCTCAGGACCCCCAGAACCACCCGCCGCTGTGCTGCCCCTCTGTCTGGACAAGCGTGAGCTTTGCTGCTCCTAAGCTGTGGGTCCACTCCCTGCCACACCCGCCTCTCGGCCTGGCCAGCAAACTCTTCAAGACTTGGCCAGTCTAAACATTGCCTTGTGGGTAATAGTGAATCCCAGGGCCCAAGTTCCCCGGAGAGGCTGCCCTGCCATGTCCGGTGCCTCTCCCTGGATACTCGCAGGAATTATGTTCGCTGCTTCCAAAGACACCGAGCACATACCAGCCTGTTAGGTTAGCTTCTCTGCACCTTAGTATAACCGCACTGAGATGGCTCATACTAAAACTAAGAAAACTCTTATTAACCAAGAGATTTAAGTGATATTTAGCAAAAATAAGAGACCGCTATGAATCAGCTAACCGCTATGAATCAGCAATTCATGAAGTGAGCTGTAGCTCACGAAAGCTTATGCTCAAATAAATTGGTTAGTCTCTAAGGTGCCACAAGTCCTCCTTTTCTTTTTGCGAATACAGACTAACACGGCTGCTCCTCTGAAACCTAACCGCTATGGTTACAAACACCACAAAGCATGCTTTCGAGTGACTACAACTCAACATTAGCAAGTTACAATCTTTGGCCAAACAACGTCCTTACTTGCCTTCAGTTTCCAGCATCCCTAGCTCCCCTTCAGTTTCCAGCATCCCTAGCTCCCCAAACTAGGGACTCCAACTTTCATAGGTCCGGAGGGTGCTGTACCCTTATGTACCCCCTAAGTCAGGGCTTCTCTTCCTTTTTCTTTCAGAGGCCCCCACCAACATGCAATTGAAGTCCACAGCCCACCCTTGCCACAACAACGGCTTTTTTGTTTTTTCCCGCATGTAAAAGCCAGGGCTGGTGTTGCGGGGCGGCAAGCAGTGCAATTGCCTGGGCCCCCACACTACAGGGGTCCCGGCGAGGCGAAGTTGCTCAGGCTTCGGCTTCAGCCCCAGGTGGCAGGGCCCTGGGCTTCATCCCCCCACAGCGGGGCTCTGGGTTTCTGCCCTGGGCCCCAGCAAGACTAACCCTGGCCCTGCTTGTTGGACCTCCCTGAAACCTGCTCGTGGGCCCCCTGGTTGAGAACCGCTGCCCTAAGTGATCAGGGGAGCAGAAAGACCTTTGATTTACGTTACCCAAAATCCATTGTCTCTGCCTTGAGCCAGGAAGGCTTCCTTGGGTGCAGATTCTGTCCTCAGGCGTGACTGTTAAACCAGCATCATCCCTGTGTGATAGCTTTGTTTACCATATATGTAAATGTCCTTTCATTGGCCTCTGCCTGTGACCCAGCTGGACAGACAGGTAAAGACACATTCCTTTGTCTCGAGTAGGCTGGGTCTAGGCTCTGCCTCCCAAACACCTTTAAAGAACTTGTTTCCAGGACACATCTGTAACTTTGTACACAACCCATACATGCATCACTCCCTCACTTTTTTTTTTTCCGGAACAAGCGTGTCCCCAATTAACACAGGTTTTAGAAACATGTTGAGGCAATCAGCGAGCCAGGCCTGACGTAAGTTATGGCATGGTGGGCCCTCTGCCAGTTGGCATTGAGAGACTCGCAGGGTCACACGCACCTCTCCGACACAGTGATCTTTGCAGACTTGGAGAGATGAGGGATTTGTAATTCTTTCCTCTCCTGGCTCACACTGTCCCAGATACGGGCGTTTTCTGCATAACACGCTGTATTGACCCCAGGGCTTTCCAAGTTGAGTAGCTAGTGAAGGTGCAGGGCGGTTTGGCTTTGCGGAATTGAGCAGGGGGCTGTTGTTCTGTGCTGCAAAATGTCCAGCAGACGTACTGGGATCAGTCCCACCTGGGAAAGGTTTTCATACAGCTGGATTGCCACCTGGATCCAGAAAGAGCAGCTGGAACGGAGTCTGGGTGCTGTTGCCAAGCAGGTCGTAGAGCAGTTTCTGCAGGGATGGCCTTCAGCACAGGATGGAGAGGTGCCACCTCTCCATCGGGAGGTCTGGCCAGAAAGTCTTTGTTCTCTGGGATTGCAGGGGCAGGAGGATGAGGTAGGCTGGCCAGGAGATGGGTGTGGAGGGGGGGGGGGTGTGCAGTGAAGGAAGAAAAAGGGGACATTTGAGGGCAGGGGGAGGAAAGAAAGAGAAATGGTGACGCCAGAGGGATGGAGATATGCATGTGCTGGGGAGGAGGGAATAGACTGATGAGAGAGTCTCTCGCTCAGGGTGGAAACTGAACATGTTCTTGGTCCAGGGTTTTCCCCCATACCGTGGCCAGCCCCGAGGGCAGGGGACCAGGTTCAGAAGTGATTGGAACCGACCCACATTTTCACTCAGACCAAACCTTTCCTGAAGTCTGAAGTTGTTGGGAACTTTCTGTCATTTATTTGAGACACACACCACCGCCGCCTCCCCCCTCCCCCCCCCCCCACCGCAGTGCTCCATGGTCCCAGTTGGGATCTGAAGCAGAAGGGGTTCTGGACTCCAAGATTGCCAGTCCAGATTGCTCACATGGCTCCGAGAAGCCACCAAACGCTGCTCTGTGCCATGGTGAATGTCTGAGCTCTGGGAGACATGGGGATCAGCAGGGCTGTGTGAACTTTCCCAGCCCTAGGAAGGGGGCCTTCTCCCAACCCATCTCATGCCCTCCCATTGCTCCACATCTCATCTCCTTTGCTTGCCTTTCTAGGTGATCCAAAGAAAAGACAAGGAAGAAAATGCATTTACCAGAAGGTCAGTGGGTTTACTTGTATTTCTGGTAATGTCACAAAACTGCTAATAACTCTGACCCGCCCCCACCAGCTGCCACCCAAAGATTTCAAAGCAGGCCCCAAACTTTAATGAGTTAATCCTGGTACACCACCTCTGACGGTGCGTATCCTTGCTCCCACAGACTTGCACAGCAAATCTAGTGATTGCTCCTGCTCCAGAAATAGAACCCGGATCTCCTCCCCCCCCGCCTCTTTGTTCATTAGGCCTCACTGTCGTACATGAGAAGGGGTGTTTGGATGGCCCTGGTGAGAAGATCCAGACATTTTGTCTATGTTCATGTCTAAGTCCTCCTGTTTTATTGTCTGGCTATTGGCTTATACTGTAGCCCTACAGATCAGACTCCTATTAGTGCTTCCTACTAACCAGGCCCAGACTGCACCTTGGCATTTCAACCCTATGCAGTTTACCCCAGCACCTGTCAGTCTGGCAGGGCCTGGCCACAGTCAAAGACCTCTCGTGGAATTCGGGAGTGTCACCTTCCCCATGCAGGAGACCTGCCCTCAGTGCATCATTGTGTGGTGTGTTGTCATTTGGCTTCACTGGAGGGGCTGTCTATGGTGACCTGGTCCTGCTCTCATGGAATTGGCTGCCAAAACTCCCATTGACTTCCATGGCACCAAAATCCAGGCTCATAGTCTGCAGTGCTTTGAGATCCTTCAGGGCAACGGCCATAGTGGTGACACCTCAGCTGTGCTCCTTCCTGAAGTGGATCCATATTTGAATTTCTTGGGTTGAAATTGACCAAAGCAGGTGACTTCTTTTTAGTAAGGTCTCTCCTCCCTGGGCTCAGTTCTCCTGTCTCACCCTACGGTAAATCAGGAGAAACTCCATCCTCAATGGGTATCTACTGGAATAAAACTGATGTGAGATCAGAATGTGGGTCCCTGGACGTTATCGATTACTGAATACCCGTGAGGGGAAGTCCTGCACCGAGGACCATGCAAAAAACAAACCTGTAGGGAGGGGGTGGAGAGCTTCCTTTGAAAATCCGCTCCCTGATGAATAGGAGGGAACCAGGCAAACGTGAAGTCTGTTCCTTGTTCAGTGAAATAAACCCAAGATCAAACTTTCTCTATCTAGGAAACACCCAAAGAATTCCAGATTTTGCCTCATTTCAGCCCCATAAATGACACCTGGGGTGGAAACAGCTGCCTGCACGCAGAGGCTGGTGTGTCCAGGAGCTGACACATGGCTTAGCTGAGCAGAGAGAGGATCCCAGGGCAGCAAGAGGCTGGGGAGTCAGGGAAGTGGTCCCCAAACAACCGGGAGAGAGATGGAGACGTTTGTCAGGTGGTATGAGCCAAAGTTGTCAGTGCATACGTTGCAGTTTGACAACGTGGACTCACCACTGTTTTGTGACTGTACTAATTACACCTGTGCAATGAGGAAATAGAATGGAGAAGTTCTCTCACTGATCACCGGGGGGTCACGATTTGCTCCCCATCTGGAGGGAATTGGAGAGACAACACAACGTGAAGAGTAACTGGTACGAGGCCTCCGTTATCCCCAGGGGACCCTGGAAGAAGCAGTTGTTACGATGGTGTGACTCTGGTCATCCATGCTCCAGATCAGATGAAGGCAGAAGCTGGGATTCTAGGTTTGAGGACATAGCAGGGGTAGGATTCTGGGTTTGGGTCACGAACAGCTAGAGACTAGAGTCTGGCAAATCTGGGTCTCCTGATGATCCCTGATAGGTAAAGTGCTATGACAGCCTACGTCTGCTTTCTAGCTCTTCGGACGTAGGATGGCCCCATGTGTAGGGTGCTTGCCTGGGACTCCGTTGACTCAGGTTCAGTTCCCTGCTCTGCCCTAGATTCTCTGCATGACCTTGGGCGAGATCCTCAAAGGTATTTAGGTGCCTAGCACCCACTGTTGCACTGGGGCCTCAGTTCTGGAGCTGTACAGTGCGGGGATGATAGAGGTGTCCATGCCTCCCCAGGACCGCTTGTGAGGATGGATCCATCAACGATGTGCTCAGATTTGGTAATGGGCTATGTCAGGCAGCTTAAAATATTACTACACTGAAGCCAGTTAAGTAGTTAAGTGAAGCTAAAGTATATTTTATCCCCATTTTACAAGGGAGAAACTGAGGCAGAGAGGGAAATGGAATTGCCCAATGTCTCTCAGTGAAGAGCTGGGAATAGGCACTTGGTACCATGGTATAAGAACCTGAATGGAGTAGAACCCAGCTCCCTTAGTGCCAAATAGACTCCCCATACTCCTGCCTGTCACTAGGCAGACCTTGCCATGGCATGAAGGATATTGGGGGATTTCACTCCGCTCTTTTCCATTCCTTCCCCCTCCCCAGTGCCAGTGTGAGACTCCCAGCCAGTAGCATCAGGATTGAGGAGAAACTGGAGAAATACACCTCAGCCGTACAGGTAAGTGGAGCCCCCAAGGCAATGGGGGGAGGGACCCTTCACGGGGGAGGGCTGGGCCTGCAGGCCTGTGAATGCCTCCCTAGTTCTGTGGTCTCTAGGTGGAAATGGGTGGCTTCTGAGCTCTGCATGGTTGTGCAGCGCGTGACCTGGGGAGAAGGGGAAGCAACAGGGAGTCCGGGAGAGCGTCTCACAGAGCTGAGGGCAGGGGCTGGGGAAGAGCCTGCCCTAGCCAGAGGGGAGTAGGGACCTGTCTCCGCCATTCACACAGAGGGAGTGGGGCCACCCTTTCCAAGGGACCGAGGACAACCCTCCGCCAGGCAGGTGATGTGGTAAGAGGGGTGGGCAGGGAGGGGAGAATGCATGACAGGGAGCTGGGGTAGGAAACTGGGCTGCCCTTCGTTCATGCACTTAGAGGCCCATGAGGAATGGGTGGGGGTCAGCCTTGGCAGGACCAGACCAGGCACCCTACATATACCTAGGGCTCTATCACAGACGGGTCCTTTCTCCGCTCCTAGCGATCCGAGGTGAAGTCGCCTGTGTCCATGCCTAGAAGTTTCCTCCTGTCCTCGGAGGGCGTGGCCAGCAAGCGTAGCATCTTCGAGGCCAGTGCCCCCGACAAAGCTGATCTGGCCCCTGTCAGAAAGGTGAGGGCTGAGGTGGGACCAAGCATGGGCTTGGGGGAGGGACCCCTGTGAGTCCCACTGTTTTGCAAACCCCACCCCCATCTTCAGGTAGGGGGCACTGGGCAGATGGTGGGGGAGATTCGAGGTGGAGGAACCCTCAGAACTGACAAAGCTGGTCCCTCAGCTCAGTGGCACCTGCCAGGCAGAGGCTGGGTGGCTGCATGCCCTGGTGGATCCTCCTTCTGGTGGCTGCTGGCTGGGATCCCATGTGGCAGGTGAGCATTTCCTTTACAGCTCCCCGTGCTGGCTGCATGGCCAAGGGCTACCCTGCAGCTGCGGGGGAGACTGGCTGAGGCCTCTTCCCGCACATGTCTTCCAAAGGTGCATTCTAGGAATGCTCCACGCAGGTGGTGCCCTGCCCTCTGAGTTACTCTTGTGTAGCACAGGAAGTGAGGGGTTTGGTCACCATTGCTGATCATGCTAAGCTGTGTTGCACCCCAGAGATGGCTGCATTCCAGTGGTGGGTAACGTGCAGTCTTAACTCTGATCCTGTTGTGTGGCAGGAGAATTTGAAGCTCCCTGGCACAGTGACGTCTCGCATCAACCTGTGGATAAGCAGGACCCAGGAGCCCAGCAAGGACGGAAGAGTCAAGGTATCAGATGTGCTGGGCATTGCGCTAAAGTGCTGGTGCTTTGACAGCCCGGTGGGGGGACCCTGCATCAGGGGAGCAGCCAGGTCGTGACAGTGATTGCAAAGTGGGCCAGATCATGCTGATCGGAACCTGTTTGTAGACTAGCGCTGGCCATGTTCCAGCAGGATTTAAGTCCCCTCCACCCTTTAGCACCTCCACTTCGAGCCACCTCACCTGCCTTACGGTTTCCCACCTGGTGGGATTTTGAGGCTCCTCCAGGAACTCATGGTTACACTAAAATCCCAAGCAAAGAGTCTTGACTTCTCCACTCCAGCAAAGAATTACTTCCCCTGCCCCTCCCCTCCTCCACAAGGGGGTGCTGGCAGTCCGCAGTGAACTGGCCCCATGCTGAATGTGCTAATCACAAAGACTCTCACCCAGTGAAGCCCTCGCTCGGGGGCTGCTTGTGGACCCCAGACCGGCTGCACTTCCTCAGGGACCTTGCGAAAATCCCTCTGCAGGGCTGGCAGGTCTGCAGGGTTGGTGGGTCTGCCCATGACAAGACAGGCCATGGGTGGGGAGGGGGACTGTGGGGATTCGCTGCTCCATGCATTATCCCCACAAACCCTACAGGGACTTCTCCAGACACTAGCTCTTCCATGCACCACCCTTGTGCTGGGGTGGTTCTCTGGGCATCCCCTGACGGTGGGACTCTGCCAGAGACACGTGGCCATAGCAGTGGGGAGCCTGGCAGGAGGTCCCTCTGGCACTGCAACCGCACCGGGCTTTTGGATGGATGACCACTGGTCTCTGCAGATCAGGGTGGCTACTAGTACATATAGGAGTGGTGCAGAGGAGACCTCTCTGAGTTTACATGGGTGTTTCCCTGCAGATGGGAATCTGGGTCCAAGATCTCTGCTCCTGTCTGTGCCGCAATGCAGCTGCGTTCCGCTCGGCCTCCGTCAGCTGAGCCGGGGGCTCAGTGAGCACAGCCCATGGTGCAGGTTACGGCACCAAGGGCAGATCCCCTCGTTTATAACCTGGGCGGCTCCTATTGCAGTGCCAGGGAATAGCTGAGTTTGCCAATGTCACAGCCATGCCTGCTCCTGGCCCAAACACCCCTCCCTGCCAAGCTGATGGCTCTGCACCTGCTGGGGAGATGCTGGGGGTGTTTTGGGAGGGGTTTCACTGCCAGTGTAAAGTGACTGTCCTGCAACCATCCAATTTCCCCCCCATTAGCCTAGTTTGGAGCAGTTCCAATGCTGCTAAGGTAATGGCCTGGATTTGCAAATCCCAGCACCCAAAGGCTCGGATCTGATCTGACCCGCTTAGGTCTGTTTGGATCCAGGGTTCTGGGTCAGGCCCCATCTTTGGTTTAGATCGATGCAATGTTCCGAGCAGTGTCGTCCATGCCCAGAGCAAACCCTAGCTCAGCCTGTTCCTCCTCTCCCTGCAGGACGCTGGGAGAACCGACCGCGCAGCAAAGCGCCATCTCTGGGCCAAGCAGCCCGACGACGACTCCAGTGACACCAGGGTAAGAGCAGAGGGAGCATGGAGCTCGCTCATGTGACCTGCCTGGATTGGGCCGCGTGCCAGTGGCTGAGTTGGGCTTGAGTCCCTAGAATCTCCTCCCCAGAGCAGCACAAAGTAGCCACAGCAAGGGCCAGGACCTGTCCCTTAATGGCTACAGTGCAGAGGTCTGAGTGCACAGGCTGGCCTGCCTCGATGGGGGTGTGTTGGGGGTGTCGTCATGCTCTGGTTGATGGGAGGGGGAGCCCAGTGTCTTTAGGGGCTAATTTGCAAAGAGGAGCTGGTATTAGGGGAACTTGCATAGAGGGGTGGGTCACAAGGAGGAAGGAGAAGATGTGGTGGGCTAGAAATGGGGTGTGTCGTGGGTTGGGGAACAGCTGGGCAGCAGCTGAATATGACACTGGAGCACTGTGCCGGTGGTTTGGGCATGTTCTAAGCGTCTAAGGCTCAGTGCAGACACTGATCTCGGTAGTTCAGAGCACCTTTCTCTCTGTGCTGCAGCCTCTGGCCCAGCCTGATGATGCCCTTTGTCTCTTTCAGCTGTAACGCTACAAGACTCCCTGGGGATAATGTCTCGCTGTGATGATCAAAGTCTGGCCTTATGCAATCCTCCAGCATCCCTTCATGGCTTTGTCTCTGAGCATCTCCCTCCCATAAGACCAGCCCTGCCTGGAGACCCACATCCTGCTTTCCTCTGATGGCACTGGGGGTTTTGGGGGCCTCTTGCTTCCGACTGGTGGATGGGAAGGAAGAAGCTTTGAAGATGACCTGTATTCTGCTGTCCCTTCCTGCTACCTGGTCTAGCTAGGACATATCAAAGCCATGAGTGCTGTCCACGTTGAGGGTACAAAATCTTTGCTGCCCTGTCCCTGGACAATGCTTTGGTGCCTCCAGTTACAATGTGCTATGACACATGCTATACCTGGAACAGACTTAACCAGCTCCAGAGTGGTGCTGGCAGGGGCCGGGCTGGGGGCTGGGGCCACTATAGCTTTGCCCCTGGAGGTCCCTGGTTAAAAGCCAGCCCAGGCTGCATGCAGTGGTAGCTGTAGGTAGCAGTGTTGGCTCGTTGAGGGAAGATCTGTCTCGGCCCAGTTCCTAGCTCAGCAGATGGCCCCAGCACCCAAACCACAACACAGCCATCCCTCAGCAGAGGGGCCATGAGGCCTGACCTCCCCTGCCCCACTAGAAGACCTGCCTGTAAGCCAGGGCTCAGGTGTGTTGGCTGGGTGTGGTGCACACCGGAAACGGCTGCTGACCTGCAGCCAGCGGAGGATGTCTGCTGCAGGGTGTGGCATTCGTTGGACCAGATCCATGGGGCTGCTTTGATTGGCCAGATGCTCAGCAGTGCCAAGCACCTGTCACTGCTTCATACCCCATCCATTCACACGTGCACTACACTGTCCCTCCCCCTGGAGACTCCCTAGGGCTGTCCTGGGGGAGCAGTGTCTGCATCATCCCCGGTTTGGTGTCACAGGCCAATGACCCCTTCTCTCCCTTCCTCCCAGCAGATCACGTGTCCAGCCTAGCCTCTCCTCCCCCTGCCAGGACCCTCTCCCATTTAGCAAGGGAGGCCCACTTGGCAATTCTGGTCCTTAGTGCAGGGGTTCTCCGCCTAGAGGCCAGTCTGCACCTGGGATGGCTGCAGAGAAGTCCCAGACCCTGCTCACCCACCCTCGCAGAAGCCTGCCTGTTCTTATCCTTGCCTTCTTTGTATGGAACCGTAAAGCTGCTCAGAATGTGATGGGCCTGAACCAAAGCCCCGGCTTGCGTGCCCCTGCGCTCCCCAGCTGCAGCCTGGAACCCAGCCCTAGCTGTAGCCTTTCCCAGGAGCACGGCCCTCTCTGGCTGGGGAGGGGCGGGGGCAGCTCTAGGACACTGGGGAGGGAGCACAGCGGAGAGCCCCTACAGTGGCAGTGTCCAAACGCCTCGGCATGAGGAGCAAGCACCTTAGTGCAGAAGGCACCTGAGTGGCTTTTGCCAGCTCTAGGCTGGGATTCTTTAGCTTGAGCCTCTGTGCTGATCGGGCCTTCCCCAGGCTCCCCCTGGATCCACTCTCCCCCCACTGGCTTAGGAAGGAACCTGCTGCTTTTGATAGAGCTCCATTTCTTAATAAATGGTGCTTTCTTTAAGATGCTCATGGTCTCGGACTGTTCTTTGGGGGGCCCTTGCTGTGAATCGCTCTGGACAATGAGGCAGACGAGCTGCTGGCCTCTGGAGAGAGGGGTGGGGTGGGGGTCAGGTGGGACTTGACGTGGCACCTCAGCCATAGGGCAGATATAGGCCTGGGTGTGGCCACTCCCCGCTTTGGGGGCTGTGCGGGAGTAATGAAGTCCTGTGGGTATTTTCCAGCTTGAGAGCTTCAGGTTTGGCAGCAGCAGCGTTCTGGTTGCCACAGTGGGTCAGGAATTCTGGGGCTCCCAGAGAGCTAGTTGTGGTGGGGCTTCGGGTCCAGCTGTAGGTGAGGACTTGTCTCCTGAGAAAGCCAGCTCTGATCTCCAGGCAGCCCTATGGGATTCGGCCGAACATCCAGGCTTGCTGGTGCTTATGTGACTCAAGCCTTTGACTGGCCCTGGGGCTTTCTGGGCCTAGCACAGAGGGTATGGGGTGTCGTGGGGCTAGGAAGCAGCGTGGGGCTCGGAACTGGGGTTCGGAGGTGAGCATCCGATGTCTGAAACCCAGGTCCTCTCCAGGCAAGAGCATTTTGCTTATCAGAGTTCTGGCCACTTGAAAGTGACAGCTGGCTGGCTTGTGTCAGCCCCTTGGGGACTTGTCTATCTCAGCCCTGCGGGTTTAAAATAGCAATTCTCTGAGGCCATACAACAGCTTGGGCTTATATGGGCTCATGGGGGGAGGGTGGGGGGAAGAGCTGCACCAGGGGCTGTGACCCACACTGCTGAAATAGCAAGCAAGTGTTCGCATTCCAAACCCTGCCACACTTGCGTTCCTCCAATCAGGCGTCTGGCCTGGGGGTGGGCTTCGGAGCCCTGTTAAAGCCTCACTCTTCCCAAGTGCATTTCACAGACGCTGTGCCAGCTGCCACTGGGCTGCGAGGGACCTCACCCCTTCCCTGGCCGAGAGGTAAGGAAACAGCCACAGGGCACAGCTTGCCAGGCTTAGGGAGTTGATTCCCTTTTCAGAGGGGACCTGAGTGACCACCGGTCTGTTTGCTAGACCTAGGTATTGACGCTCCAGAGACAGAACAGGGGTCTGCCTCAACCTACTTGGCCGAAATTGGCCCCTCCCAGTTGTCATCATCCACCCCAGAGATGACTGCATTTCTCTGGTGAAGGGATTCCTCTGGGTATAGCATGAGTCTCTTCGCACCAGTTTGTCCACTGGCACAACTCCATTGACTTTAATGGAGTTACTCCTGGTTTACGTTGGGATGGGCAAAGAGGGGGAATCGGGCCCAGCAGGGTTACTCCCAATTTACGCTGTGGTGAGTAATAAGGAACTTATGCCTATCATCTCTGTACATTGCTCTGGGAGATGAGGAGTGTTCTAGAAACCTAAGAGACTGTTATGTTACCAAGTCCCTCGCTGGCAGGCAAAGCACAGGGCGGGCGCAGGATGTTTGTGCTATCGAGTTCAGAATGCTGCATCACTGCAAGTGGCAAATGAAACTACACAGTGGTTCTTGGATTTTTTTTTTTTTTTGCATTGTTCTTTGAATAAACACGGCAGAACTAAACATTTGGAAATACACCTAGCCATTCATCTCTAGGACTTAAAGTAAAACCGTGATTTGGTACTTAGATAATCTAGTTCTAACCTACCCTGCACTAGATCAGTGTTAACCGGCATGTCTGAGGCATGTTAAAAGACCAATTTAGAAGGATTCATAGATTCCAAAGCCAGAAGGGATGACTGTGATCATCTAGCCTGACCTCCTGTATAACATAGGCCAAGGAACTTTCCCCCAAATAATTCCTGGAGTGCATATTTTAGAAAGGTTTTTTTGGACCATTCAATCCACAATTAAAACAGGGATTATTTGCAGCAAATAATTTATTCAGCTCTTTGTGAATTGTCCACAGACTTCCTGGATTTTTTTTTTTGTAGCTCAAAATCAATTAATTAAAAATTCTGTGCAAACATACTTACCAGTGTGTTGCTCATTCACTGTTTGATACTGGCAATTTGAGCTACCTTTGCTGGACATGCAGAGTACAAGGTGTTTCTAGGCACTGCCTGGATGTAGATAACTCTTAAAATCAAGTTTCTGGCACAAATATTCCAAAATTGCTTTCCTTGAATATTTGTCAATAGCCACCTAAAGATTGCGGTCTCAGCTAATGTGGTTTGTTGGCCCCTTGTGGGAAGTGAATGAAGCTGGAGAGAGGTCACTTACATTTATTCACAAACATTCATATATTTGCCTATCTGTCCGTGACCGAGCACTTTGCAAAAGAGGATCATGGGGAACGGCTTGATGAATATTTAGGTAGATTTTTGGCTAAATGATGAGGGCATGAGCGCTGTCTAGAAGTATGCAAGGGACATGGGCACCAGGAAGGGTCAGGAATTATGGTGGCTCAAGAGGGAACTAGGAGTAATGGAAGGAGTTTAAAAAATGAACTTTTAACATGGAAAAACTTCCTAGTGGTCAGATCTATTAGAATATGGCATAAGATTATGGAACAGTCTAAATACTAATAGTGGCCCAGGGACTGAGCTGACAGCAAGGCTGTCAGCACTGGCAATCAAACTGAGTTCCAAAGGAAATGCTGGAAGACTTATCACTTAAAAGGCTTAAAGCTGGAATGAACCAAGCCCTGGAAGATGTACTGTTATCTTGAGACCAATCCTGTGCTGGACTTCAGGATGTAGTAGGTCTTTCCTATCAGTAATGTTTCTGATTCTGGATTCAGGCAGCAAAGTTCTTTAAGTTAGCCTCTTATAAAAACTGAAAAGATGGAGCTGGGACCAGCTCTTACACAACATTGGAAAAGGGGGTTGTTGTACAGCAGAGCTGATTTGCTGAACAGGTGGTTTGACACATTGGAGTTATTCATAGAAACCTGGGGTTTGGTAGGAAAGTTTCATCTATTGTGGGGATCTGGGACAAACCTGAGCTGCTGGCCAGAGTTAGCAGAAGGTTCCACTGGGCTTCAGGAATGTTTCAGTGAGCTGAAAGCCTGCGAGTCAGACAAGACTCGGGGCATGGTGTTTAGGCAAGCCGGGAACCAAACAAAAAGGGATGGCTTGAGCAGAGATTCACTTTGGCATTTATCTGAACACGAAACTCGGAGTGAAAAGCGTTCAAATGGACATTTGGAACCCCACTAACTTTCCAGACAGAGCTGTACTGCCCAGTGCAATCAACGGGCAATAAAATAATTGCTGAGAACGTATTTTAAGCTGCCTTCCTAACCGGCTTTGGTGGCATCGCAGCTGTGTTAGCCTTGCTGGTGAATCGTCTGTTAGCAGTTTGAACATCACCACTTCAGCTTTAAGGCCACTTCCCCAGCTCCTTTTCCTGGGTGTTTCCTTGTGCTGTTTCTTTGTGGACTTTGGACACTGTCCAATGGTACCTAGATCGTCTATAGAGAGATTAGACAGAATTCAGGAGAAACTTTTAAGACGCATAGGGCTCCAATGGAAATACTGATTTGTATCTGACTTCTCATCGGAAGAACTGAAAGCACCTTACAAAGATGGACATTGTTGTCTCCAGTTTACAGAGGGGGAAATTGGGGCATAGAAGGTCCATGGATTTCAATGGGAATTATGAGCCTAAAAACCTTGGAGGATCATGACCTAGGGGTACGTCTACACTGCAAAGTAAAACCCACAGCAGTGAGTCTCAGAACCAGGGTCAACTGACTGGGGCTTGGGCTGCAGCGCTAAAAATAGCAGTGTAAATGGCCCTGTTCTGGCTGGAGCTCAGGCTGTGAAACCCGGCGAGGGGAAGAGGGTATCAGAGCTGGGGTGCAAGCCCAAATGTCGACCTGGCTATTTTTAGCTCTGCAACTCGAGCCAATGGACCCAGGCTCTGAGAGTCTCTGCTGTCAATTTTTCTTTGCGCTGTAGACATACCCTAAGTGACTTCCCCAGTGTAACACAGCAGGTCAGCTGCAGAGCCAGGAATAGAACCCAGGAGCCTTGACTCCAGTTCCCAGTGCTCCCCGCTCACTGGGATGTATGAGCACAGAGATGCCCCTCTCCTTGACAGGGCTGCTGGAGGCTGACAGGATTTGGAAAGCTAGCAAGCGAGTTATTAATGAGGCTTCATGTCATTTTCTTTGCATGGCTGTGGTTTAAGATCACAGGACACTTGAGTCGCTGGTGAATCTTACTCAGCCCCAGAGAAGGGATTGGGACCCAGGATAAACAACATGTCAGAGGAGCTAACAAGCAGCTCTGAGATTCAAGGCAGGAATTGCAGTGCTAGCCGCCCTGCCTTCCTGATTGGCCAGGGGAAAGTGGCTGATTTTGCTGAGGAAAAGTCAGTCCTACGGCATGTGTCCAATGCGGCAGAAGGGAAAATGGCAGCTAGGTGTGAGAGACCAGTCCTTTAATGCTAAGAACTACTGAGGCGCAAAATCGGCGTTTCCTGGGTTTATTCTCCTCCCCTGCACTTCCCACTCAACATAACTCTCTCTTAGATCATCGCTGTGCAGAGAGGTTGCAATGTACCCTGGGCCTGGCTGGGAGCTCAGAGTTATCAGTGCTGACTGATGATGTTCCTAAGCTCTTGCTTCCTATTTAAGGAGAACTATGTTGCTGAGCCATGGAGGGGCGGGGAGGTGGAGTGGCCTCAGGAAGGGTTATCTCAGCCAAGACGCCATTGTTAGATTCCAGCTCAGCGTTGGGGTGGTTATTTTCCCCTTTCTTTGTGAGATAATTATGGAAGTTCCTATCTGTTTGTGACAAGCACAGATCCTCTCAGGAATGAGCTCTTCCCTCTCGGCCAATTTACCATCCCTGCCACATCGACACTGCAGCAACAGGGAACTTACAAATGCAGCTGGTTGGAATAAGGTCTGGCTGCCCACAAAAGATGAGTCCTGGAAAGGGTTTCCTTTGGCTCAGAAGTGGCAATGACTCCCCAGTTTCTCCCTAGGACTTCCTGCCAGGACACAAGTGGCCATTTTTGCTTTATCACTACAAAAGTGATATGGCTGCCATGGCCCTGCTGAGTCTTAATGCAGCTGAGTCATTCAAAGCTGCCTCAAATCCAGCTTCACTGGCCACAGAAGGAAGGATTCTCCCTGTGTAACTGCAACAGGTACATAGAGGGAATCTTCAGGTGGCTCCTTAGCCATTCTGCTGCTAGCTACCAGCTCAGAAGGCATGGCTGGGAGAAAGTGGTGCCCCAGGGATCCTTGGCAGCCAGAACAGCCCCAGGTGGCCCTAGGATTGGGGAAGGAAAGATGTGGCTTAATGCAACCATTGTGCACTCCCACCACTACACTGCAGCTCAGCATCTAGCTCACAGTGTGAGTGGAAAAGCAAAAAAAATCCCAAATGACAAGAGTTTTAATCTAAAAGCCAGCGAGACACAGGGATTTATTCACACCCACAAATGAGCTGCATTGCGTGACATCTAATCCAGCTCGATACTTCAGCATCTCCATGCCTTTCTAAGGCACCTGTCAGCATGGTAGCTATGCACAGGTGTGGGGAATTTGAGGAGGGGCTGGATCTGTATGCAATGAACTTTTTACGCAGGGCTTCCTCTCCCTCATCTGCCTGCTGCTCAGAGGAAAGGGGAGGAGGTGATGGGAGTGTGACATAAGACACAAGTGAATCAAAATGAAAATTCCTAGTCTAAACAAATACTTTGGGCAGATCATTTAGGTTTCTCTGGCTGTTGGTGAGTTGCTGTAAATATCTTGCAAAGCATCTGAATCTTCAGACATGGCCCCTGATTTTGGGTGCCTGGATTTCTGGATGCCACCTCCGCAGCCTGATTTTCAGACGTGGAGAGTGCAGCTTTTAGAGGGTGCTCAGCACAGCTGACAATCAGTCCAAACGTGTCTCAAGTTGGGCACCCAGAATCAGTGGCCATGTGGGAAATTGTGGGTCATGGGGTTGCACGGAGTTCATCCCAGATGGACACAGAAATCATGCTCCAATGTGTCTAAGAATGAAGGACTGAGTGCACTGCTGTGGTTTTTATTGTAGCTTTTAACACACTCTCTAATTTTATTTTTCTGCTAGCTAACTGAAAATGTCAGACGTCGAAGAAATCATCGAAGAATATGAAGAGTAAGTGCGGTGATTTAAAATCTTCCCTCCTATGGCCAGCCCTCTTCATGCAGGGGTAAAGCAGGCAGCTTGCTCTGTGGCTGCCATTGCAATTTTGGTGTAGCTGCATCAAGTCCCATCGAGAGTCATTCATTCTCATTCTTACCCAGCCCTGTCTGGAGCTGTGGGAATGATTCACGTTTTTATTAGTACTAACAACAGTGCCCGCTAGTTCTTAGACAGCACTTTTCATCAGTAGATCTCAGAATTGCAGGCCATAAAACCATCCTTCCTTCCCATAAATGAGAACTGTGATTAAGTGTTATATATATAATTAATTTGTTTCTCTTTACCAACCCTCTGACCCACTGGTGGGGATGACCCAAGCCCCGAGATCCAAACACCTCCAGACTTTGGGAAAGCTGGGACAAAAACCTTCCAGCACGGTCCCATCTCTGCTGCCATGTAACGAGGGGAGACAAAACACAGCCTGTAGAAATGCATAACACAACATAGTGTAAACTGGCCACGGAGGGCTCTCTGAACTCCCCCTGTCCCATAAAGCTGCACTGGAAACATGCTTTCCCATCCTGCAAATATTTTTGAGAGTCTAAAAACTTTCCCAATTCTGAATTCGGATGAAAAATAAAAAATCTCAAATGTTCGTGAGTCAGAAACACCAAAAAAATTCAGGTTTCAGAGTAACAGCCGTGTTAGTCTGTATTCGCAAAAAGAAAAGGCGTACTTGTGGCACCTTAGAGACTAACCAATTTATTTGAGCATAAGCTTTCGTGAGCTACAGCTCACTTCATCGGATGCATTCTGTGGAAAATACAGAAGATGTTTTTATACACACAGACCATGAAAAAATGGGTGTTTGTCACTACAAAAAGTATTCTCTCCCCCCACCCCATTCTCCTGCTGGTCATAGCTTATCTAAAGTGGTCACTCTCCTTACAATGTGTATGATAAACACCCATTTTTTCATGGTCTGTGTGTATAAAAACATCTGTATTTTCCACAAAAAGAAAAGGAGTACTTGTGGCACCTTAGAGACTAACCAATTTATTTGAGCATGAGCTTTCGTGAGCCACAGCTCACTTCATCAGATGTGTACCGTGGAAACTGCAGCAGACTTTATATACACACAGAGAATATGAAACAATACCTCCTCCCACCCCACTGTCCTGCTGGTAATAGCTTATCTAAAGTGATCAAAGTGGGAGGAGGTATTGTTTCATATTCTCTGTGTGTATATAAAGTCTGCTGCAGTTTCCACGGTACACATCTGATGAAGTGAGCTGTGGCTCACGAAAGCTCATGCTCAAATAAATTGGTTCGTCTCTAAGGTGCCACAAGTACTCCTTTTCTTTTTGCGAATACAGACTAACACGGCTGTTCCTCTGAAACCTGTATTTTCCACAGTATGCATCCGATGAAGTGAGCTGTAGCTCACGAAAGCTTATGCTCAAATAAATTGGTTAGTCTCTAAGGTGCCACAAGTACTCCTGAATTTTTTGCAAAAAGAAAAGATCAATCAAAATGTCTGAATTTTGAACCATTTTGTTAGGATTTTGAGCCCCCCCCCCCCTTTTTGGCCCTTTTTCCCCACTCTAATTAGCTTAGATTTTTAAATGAACATTTATTTTGAACCAGAAATTTTCCTTTAGCGAATGTCAAAACAAAACACTTTTTCCCCAACTTCTTTTCTGAGTCGGGAGATTTGTCGAAACGGACGCTGTTTTGAGAACAGTTTTGTTTTGACAAATCCGCATTTTTCAATGAAAATACAACTCGCTGGAAAGTTCTGATCCGCCCCCATCCCTCCCCCCTTCACGGGACCAGCCACTGGGAGAAACATGCAACCGATGTTCTAACCCAACCGTTTCTCCTTTGGCTTTGCAGGGAACAGGAAGGTAAGAGGAAGAGCAGCATCTTTCTGCACATCAGGACAGACTGAGGCTCTAAGACTATCAGTATAACCTCAATAACCTGCTTGTTCTCTCTCCCTCCCTTTCTCTTCCCCTTTCCTGCAGAGGAGTATATTGAAGAAGGTAGGTTTTTCCCTGTTGTATGGGAGGGACAAGAGGGCATGGGGTGGTTGCTACTGGTTTATTTAGATACTTTTTCCTTTTTTGCTTGGAATGGTTTAGCATGGCATGGCTGCAGGTGGGCAGAGTCATGCAAATACTGTATAAAAAGGTCCTGGGAATGTTCCTTCCAATTTTAAAACAAATTTTGCTTCAGCTGATGTTCAGTTAGGGTGAAATTCACCCCTGTCCAGGGGACTGACGCAACCCACAGGGTTAATGAGTAACTTCAGAGGCATGTAGACCTCATTCCAGTCCTCTGCACAGGGGGTGAATTTCACCCTAAGAGTTTATTTGGCATTCGCTTTAGTAGCGAGGATAATTGGAGACGGGCCTCAACTAAATCCTCAGATCTGAGCACGGGGAGAATTCAGGATTGAAAACTTTCGCAGCTCCGGCCTGTCTGCGATGATGATGTGATAACTGAAAGGAAGCTAGAGTCTCAACTGACTTGTGTGAGTGACAGTTCAGCCTGGGCTTGCTGCGTTTTCAGTATGAGGACTAGAAGCTGAGGAGTTTATGCATCTAGCAGCTTTGCAGCCTTCTTTGCTGTGTGTGAGTGAGAATATTTGTAATGTCTGCTGGATATTGGTGAAGAAAAGCCTTAATATTCGACAGCTTTAACAACACCTGGGCAACACCTGCATAGCAGAGCCGGATAAACACCAGGAAAGCTGTAGGACGTAGCTGGGAAAGTAGAGATCGATAACATGCCGGCGGACGCTCTAGCTAGATGCCACAGCTTTACGATACCTGACTAACCTTTTCCGCTTCTTCCTTTCACTGTTGCCACTTTCCACCTTGACGAAGAAGAAGAATGGCTAGAGGAGGAAGATGGTAGTAAAACGTTTCTTCTTCTTCTTTCCCTTCCCTAATGCTTGCCAACATTCTGCATATGCAATGTCTGTGATTTGTTGTATATACGTACATGCTCTATCTATGCGATGGTGTGACCTCTTTCTTCTGCCCATTGCCTCTTGGTGTTGCTTGTTGTATCTTCCTCCCCGTTCCCCGTTTCTGCCCTAAGATCACATCTGAATCCATGATGCATCCTTGCATTTCTAACTTTCATCAATTTGCCAAACTCACCCATTGTTTGGTTCCTTCCTTATATTCCTCTTTCTCTCCTCCAGGCAGTGCCAGTCTTTTAAATCCCTCCTTAGAGCCCCAGTTGCCTACCAGCTTCTCCTCTCTCTCTCTTCCACAGAGGACTCCGTTTGCAGCTACGCTCCCTCTGGTGGAAGGAGGCGCTCAGATGTGCCAGTGGTACTAATAGAGCGCGTGATAGGAGAAGAGGGGGAATGACTAAAGGCAGTTCCCTCGGGCACCCACCAGGGCCACTTCTGTTGCCTGGAGGTGGTTCAGGAGAACAATGAAAATCGCCCCATCCCTGCCCCGCACTGGGACTAAGCATGTTGCGTCCCTTGTTGCCATGGAGAGTGGTGGACCTTGACCTGCATGTCACCATGTGGCCCTGCCAGACCCTTGGAGTTACCATGAGAGCAGCCTCTGATGGCATTTGGCCCCTTCCCCTTCTAGTCATACTGGGAACATGGCAGGGCAGAATCACGTGGAAATGAGGGGGGAATTCCCCTCTCAAAGCATCAATAATAAAGGTCAGTTGAGTTTGGGGTGAAGGTTCAGGTGAATTCCCATTTTATGCAAACCGAACCATTACCTGTCTCCATTCCGTGGCCACACTGCCTTTCCCCCTCAGATACCCTTGTGGCTGGCTCACTATAACATGTACTTTTATCAGCCAGCCAGCCTGAGTTGCTCCTCTCATCTTGCATGTTGTTCCACAGACCACAAAGAGCACATAGAAGAACTAGAAGAGGCTGAGGAAACCCCAGCAGAAGGTAGGTGGTTGAACCTCTAGGAGACATCTCCCTCTGCCCAGCTTGCTCTGGCCTTCTCATGCATTTCAGTGGGCTGCCTAATCTCTGGGTTGGATTGCACAGCTAAGCTGCAAAAACTCAGGGATGCTTAAAATCATGTCATTAACTCAAGCTATAGCCGGACAAGGGACCCATGCCTCTTCCCAGCTCCGCAAAGGGGGCACTCTCCCTCAGGGTGCAGTTCCCAGTATGCTGGTGCCAAAGATAGATCTGGGCCGATCCTGCCAGGTGCTGAGTGCTCTCGGCTCCCAACATGAAGGCACCAGGAGCTCTGTCCATGGGGTTGTCGGTGTTTTGCAGAACTTTGTCTAGAATGTGCAGGATATCGGAGTTGAGATCCAAGAGGAGAATTTTGCCTGTAAGCAGGATACCCCACTACACCAGCCCCACTGCCCCAGTCATCACGCTAGGGAAAATGGAGCCACACCTCCACCCAAACAGAGGAGGTCTTGCTCCCCTCTGCAGGCCTCATGTCCAAGTCATGCTCCTGCCCATCAATTCCCAACTTCACCGCTCCACAAAGAACCCCGGGAGAATCTGTGCATCAAAGACACTCCCTGAGACTCCATGCCTCCCTGAGCTGCCCTTTTCTATGGGGGTGAGGGGTAATATGCAGAGTCAGCCCTTTTGCAAGCTGCAGCAAACTCCTCCTCCTCCTCCTCTCCAGCTGGCTCTGCAGACTGGCCTGTAGTGGGCAGAGCCAGGGCTCCAATTACTCCTGACCCTCTCCAGGCCCATTGGTTTGTGTGACGGCCGGTATCTTTGTTAACGCTGGGGGTTGAACCAGGGCCCTCCAGAGTAAAAAGCTTGAATCAGTACAGCCTGAGCTCAAGAGCCAGGTTCCCTAGCTGGGGACTATAAACAGCCTCCTGTCCTCCGTCGCTCAGCACGGACGGGGGCTCATAACAGACTGACCAGTGGGTCAAACTTGCACAGGAGTGGAGAAGCTGTAGCTCTGCAGGGACTGGATCCAAGAGTAGCCCTCGGGGGTAACTCTCCCCCTCTCCTTGTTCCCCTGTCTTTAGACTCACTACCATCTTCTGTGTGGTGTATAGCACAGATCACCCCATCAGCCCTGAAATATTAATAAAATCATGTAAATAAAGAGAAAGAACACAGCTAGGAGCTGGCATCCTTCTGCTGTTGGAGAGGTCTGTATCTTTCCTCAGCCTGTTAATTTCCAGGTGTAACCCACACACCTCCTGGGTAGGGTGACCAGATAGCAACTGTGAAAAAACAGAACAGGAGGTCGGGGGTACTAGGTAGGTGCCTATATAAGAAAAAGTCCACAAAATGGGACTGTCCCTTTAAAAATGGGACATCTGATCACCCTACTCCTGGGTGGGGTGTTCTGTCCCATCGAGTAGCACCAAGGGGCAGGAGAGAGAGGGGGAGGGGAAAAAGAGAGAGAGAGAGATTAATGATTTTGCTCTACAGCCTTAGCTAAAGGCCAGTTGGCTTTTAGCTCATGCAGTAGAGGCTCATGCATTAAGTTCTAGAGGTCCCAGGTTTGATCCCGCCTGCTGACAGCTGGGGACCGGGGTCTGTTGGTATTACACAGGCTTAAAGCCAGATTCTGGTCTCTGTTACACTGCTGAAAATCCAGCCTGGCTCTGCAGGTTTCATTGAACCCACTCCCAAGCGACATGGGCGTGACTGATATCAGAATCTGCCCCTTATGGTGTAAAAATTGGCCAGAGCTGTCTCAGCTGTGATCATCCAATACCAAAATGCCAGCGGTGGAGACCCAGCCTGTGTGAAGAATGCGAGGAATTCCCCAGGGCATTCATGGGGGATGAATGTGTCTGCCTCCATGACCCATCTCTGATCGAATTGTCCTTTCTGCTTTTAAAATAGAACACAAAGATGAAGCTAAAGAAAAAGAAGGTAAGAGCAAGAGCAAGACTGGGGAGAGGGGTCTGTTCACATGCGGGTCAGTGCAGGCCTGATCCCACTTGTTCTGAGCCCCGGGTCCCCCCTGTTCCGTTGAACTCATCTGCTACTAATAATGGGGTTTCTGACTCCTGCTGTGTAAAAGCTGGCCACCAGGAGGGACGCTGTCCCTGCCTGCCCAGTGCAGAGGGCCCATGAGGCCCCCACGCACCATGTGAGATTGCTGTGATCTAGCCTTGTGCTGCACAGGGGAGAATTTCACACACCCTGTGGTAAGAAGGGGACGTTCTTCTGCTTTCAGAGTCTAAGCTCAGTGGGGTAAATGGAAAAGCTTGTCTGGGACTCTCAGGCCTTTTGAGTGAGCTAGGGCTTGGTTTGGAGGGAATCTGGGGTGTCTCCCATTGAAACCCCATAGAGCTCACGTTTCCACCTGAAGCCAGTTTTCAGCTGTGTTTTCCCCTTGGACCACGTATCAGCCCGGTGCTCAGCACCATGTAGGACTAAAGGCCAGATTTTTACAGGTATTTAGGTGCCTAATGATGCAAAGAGGCACCTAGTGGGATTTGCAAAAGCACCTAAAACCTGGCCTTCCCAGCCCAGCCCTGCACACTGCTGCATACCCCCTACAGCGTGCAGAGAGCTCTCAACTCCTGCACGTCAATGGCAAATAAGGGTGCTCAGCACCTTGCAGCATCAGGCTGCCTGAGCTAGGCCTGAAGAACGCGTTTGCGTGTGCCGCCGCAAAGCCAAGCCGTTGTGCTTCACCTGGCTCTGCGTCTGCCCCCTCCATGAGAAGGCGACGTTGGGGAGCTGTCCTCCCACTGGCGGATGTCTGTGTTGGAGCTCCGACCTTCACCTTCCTGCCACTTCCCACAAGGCAGCTGGAGGTGTCCAGACTGACCCTGCCATGACACGGTTTCCAGTGCTGGGGCTGGCAGGAAAGGAGATGCTAGGCAAGGTTCAACAAGGACAAGTGCAGAGTTCTGCACTTAGGAAGGAAGAATCCCATGCACCGCTACAGACTAGGGACTGACTGGCTAAGCAGCAGTTCTGCAGAAAAGGACCTAGGGGTTACAGTGGACGAGAAGCTGGATAGGAGTCAACAGTGTGCCCTTGTTGCCAAGAAGGCAAACGGCACATTGGGCTGCATTAGTAGGGGCATTGCCAACAGATCGAGGGACGTGATCGTTCCCCTCTGTTCGGTACTGGTAAGGCCACATCTGGAGCATTGCGTCCAGTTTTGGGGCCCCCACTATAGAAAAGATGTGGACAAATTGAAGAGAGTCCAGCAGAGGGCAACAAAAATGATCAGGGGGCTGCAGCACATGACTTACGAGGAGCGGCTGAGGGAACTGGGATTGTTTAGTCTGCAGAAGAGAAGAATGAAGGGGGATTTGATAGCTGCTTTCAACTACCTGAGAGGTGGTTCCAAAGAGGATGGAGCTCGGCTGTTCTCAGTGGTGGTGGATGACAGAACAAGGAGCCATGGTCTCAAGTTGCAGAGGGGGAGGTCTAGGTTTGATATTAGGAAACATTATTTCACCAGGAGGGTGGTGAAGCCCTGGAATGCGTTACCTAGGGAGGTGGTGGAATCTCCCTCCTTAGAGGTTTTTAAGGCCCAGCTTGACAAAGCCCTGGCTGGGATGATTTAGTTGGGAATCGGTCCTGCTTTGAGCAGGGGGTTGGACGAGATGACCTTCTGAGGTGTCTTCCAACCTTGATCTTCTATGATTCTAAGATGCCACCTGGTGGTCACTCGGTCAATGTGTTTTGCTCAACTGAGGCCCATGCGTCTCAAGTCCCCAGAACGGTGGTACTAAAAATCCATGGCCCGGTCTTGGTGGGACATGCCACCTGGGGATAAAGTGGGAGAAAGGCTCAGTCCGCGTCCCCTTCACCCCCAGCCCATCCCTGCTGCCTCCTGGAGTGCAGGGTGTGTACAGTGGCACCGATTGGCCATGCAGGCGCAGATCGGGTGCGTGGTTGGGGGCTAAAGCTCTGTCTCTCCCACAGGTGGCGAGGGGGAGCACGAGCAGGAGTCTGGGGAAGGTAACGTACCTGTCCTCTCCCTGTGCCCCACAGGGAGTTGCGCTGGAGGGAAGGAACGAGCCCCGATTCACATACACCCATCCCTTCCTGGGGGGAGCGGACAGCAAACCCTCCTGACCACCCCGCTGCCCTCTCCCCTGACCCATGATGAGCATGAGCACCCGTCACTAGACAGCAGCAGGACCAGGGGGCGTGGGGAGTTGGGGCACAGGGTGCCACATCCATTCAGGTGACTTCACTTTGTTAGGCTGTGGGGCTGATTAGGGGTGTGAGCTTTGGACCAGATGCCCTGTACCGGGCACCCACATACTAGCCAGGAGAGCTGTTATGTTCCCCGCTGGTGCGGGCACGCCGCTGGCTTGCTGTGGCTGAGATGGGCCTGTACGGTGGGGACACTGCCCGCCCCTGCACTAACAGTTTGGGCAGCTTCTTGGGGCAATGTGTCCCCTGTTCCCAGCCACTAGGGGAACCCCTGCCTGCCTGCATGGGGTGGGGAGCCCGCAGGCAGCCACGTTATGAATGTCTGAAGCAGTTGTGGGGCATGTACCTCAGTGTCAGGGCAAAAACAGGGTCTACCCTATGCAATGGAGTTCCTCAGCCGGCTAGCGCTGTCTGGACAGGCAATAGGAAAGGAGACTGGACCAATTGCTGGGAGCTGAAATACTCTTTAAGTGGATGGGGTGGTTGAAATCTGGCCAGATTTGACAGTCTGGGCCCATCTGTAGCCCTAGTGAACTGCCTGGCTCCTCCATACCTGACTCCAGGCTGTAGGTTTACCTGCAGCATGGCATGGAGCTAGGGTGACCAGACAGGAAATGTGAAAAATTGGGACGGGGGTGGGGCGTAATAGGAGCATATATAAGAAAAAGACCCCAAAATCCTGACTGTCCCTATACAATCAGGACATCTGGTCACCCTACATGGAGCAAAGGGAGTCTGGGGGTGCCCGGCCCATCACTGATATTTACATTGCAGTGGAAAGGCGAACCTCTCTGTGCCATTAACTCTGTGTTTCTCTTTGGTTCCCACGGACCCGCAGGGGAGTCAAAGCCAAAGCCCAAGTAAGTAGAAATGCATTTTGTGTAGGGGGATGGGAAGTTTGGATTGTGCGTGTGTGCGGAATCGCTCTGCCGTTTGGCTGGGCAGGGGCTGTATACAGTGCAGTAAATACCAAAGGGAAGGGGGAAGGGGTGGAGTCGGGGCTAAAGAGCCCCAGAACAGGAGAAGGGAAGCGAAATAGGGAGAGGGTGGGGGAGGAGAAAGAGAGAGCAGAAAAGCAAGCGGGGGAAGGGACGAAGGAGAACAAGGGGGGCGAGGGAGGTGGGGAGTGTGGCACAGGGAGAGTGCGATCAGAGCTGGTGAGTCGGGAGCAGCTTGTGCATTCAATGGCACAATCAGAACCTCGCACTCTGGCTTGTGATATAGGAGCTTAGCGGTGCATTCTCCAGTGCAGCAAAGCCCCCTGTGCATTCCTTGAAGCGACCTTCTCGGAAGCCATCCGAGCATTCCCTGAGACAACCACCTGCTCGGGTGGAGGAATCTCCTGCAGGTGAATGGGAATGTTCTCATGAATCCCTGGGAGCCCCAGTTCCCTGTTAGATGGATAAAGCAAGGGAGCACCGAGTGCTCTAGGCCCCGGGAAGGAGACACCCTGCTAAACCTTCTCTTCCTTCCTCTCTCCCTACTCCTCAGTTCCACCCTTCCGAGTGTCGCCAGGTAGGCTCAGCTGTCTAAGCCTCTGCAATAATGCTGCTGCCTAACAACGGGTTGTGCCCTAGCTGGTCTGGGTGGACACACACGTTGCTTTTGCTGACAGGTACAAGGAAGAGCTGGACTAGCAATGTCCTCGTCTCAATGAGGTTCAAAGGAACAAAAGGGGTTTGGAGGGAAGCATCAGCAATACCAGTCAGCGAGCTCAGTCCATGATCATCTCTCCAGCTGAGCAGGGCTCTTAAGAGTGATAAGCCTGAAGCAAAACTTTTTCAAATTTGAAGCCGGATTGAGAATCAAAATCTGCACCCCAGGCTTACTTCTACCAGTAGATGCCTTCAGATGGCCCGGCAGACGAGACTGGACGGAACCAGGATGCCTGGGTCCTATATTTAGTCTGGCCACTGATTTAGTGTGGACAGGTCCCTCCCCAAACCCTCGCCTCAATTTACCCACCTGTAGGATAGGGCTGAGGATACTGCCCCTCCTTTGAGATCTGTGGGTGGTACCGTTTTGTCAGCAGGGCATTTGCATCTGGATACTCCAATAAGCACTTTGGCCCAGATCCTCCAAGGTATTTGGGTGCTTAACTCTCATTGGTTTCAGTTAGGTGCCTAAATGTCTTGGAGGATGTTAGGGGGCTTATTCCTTCACCCACTTACTTCCCTGGTCCTTCTCGCATGAACAGAGAGCAACAATACCCGAAGTCCAAAGGTGCAAACAATTCGATGTTTATTGGGGTGAACTTCCAGCAAGCATGATTCCAGTTTCCTTCCTTAGTATCCTCCTTCCCAGCTCTGACACCACAAAGCCTTAAACCTGTGTCCCTGTTCCCATTCCTGCCCTTAGCCAAACATGATTCCAACTTCCTTACTCCCATTCCCTGTTCCCATCTCACACACCCACATCCCCACCCCCACCCACACCCAGTCACTTCCTCATTGACTACAGATTATATAGTAAAACTTGAGTTCTGCTTAGCTATACCTTAACCAATCATTTTCCTGAAATTTAACTAACCAATCCTAACATATTGTAACATGATTATGTAACCAATTATATCCCACCACCTCAATTAGTTTACACCCAGCAAAATTAATTATACAGCAGACAGGAACAATCACAGAACCAGACAGAGATTATACAGACAAACAATAGCAAAGTGGGAACTATAATGACAAAACAATACAGAAGTGAGGATTTCACATCCCAGCTATTGATAAGTGAGTTCTTGCCAGACAGGATGCTATCAAACTAAGTTTCCTTTTACATTTTCTAGGCACTTCCCTTTCTCTGGAGGTGATAGGAATATAATCCTGTCCTGATAGTGCCTAACAGCCCAATAGCACCTTATTTCAATGTGACTAGTTTGGAATGTGAGGAGGTGACCGGTCGCTTCCCAGCTTATGGCTGCCTCTGCTGCTTAGCCAAAGGCCTGAGCCTAAGCACAGGGCCACAAACTGTCACAGTAAGAGAAGGCCCTTACACTGGCAGACAGTGGTTTTGATTCTTTCTTTTATACCTCTATCACTAGCCAAGTGATAAGAATACACCTAAATTCTTAGAGTATAGGCCTTTACAGACAGGCCTGAATATCTATATCCTAACAGAGGATCTGGGCCATTGCCATTATTTCTATGTACTGTCTATTGTGGATGATGAGGCTGTTTCACTGACATACTTAAGCACCCCAATGCTGCATTCAATGGCGCTATTAAGGTTCCCGTATTTGAAACTCGGGCCCAGAAGTGTCTGCCCCAGAGCTGCTGGATGGCTCACTTCCCCCAAACCTTCTGTTGGTCTTTTTGATAAAACTTTCAAGCCTATCAAGGGAAAAGCACCGGGTAGATACCCGTCAGCAGCTTGGGGTTGGCTGCCACATCGCTCAATTCTGGTTCCTTGCTTGAAAGTGTGACCATTTTCTAAACCTTTGGGGTGCTTTCCTGGCACAGGTGGCTAGGGGACTTGTCTGGTAGCTGCCACTGCAAATCATAGAATCATAGAATATAAGGGTTGGAAGGGACCCCAGAAGGTCATCTAGTCCAACCCCCTGCTCGAAGCAGGACCAATTCCCAGTTAAATCATCCCAGCCAGGGCTTTGTCAAGCCTGACCTTAAAAACCTCTAAGAAAGGAGATTCTACCACCTCCCTAGGTAACGCATTCCAATGTTTCACCACCCTCTTAGTGAATGCCAGACTGCAGATGGGGTGAAATGCACCCCAAGCAGAGGGCCAGCAGGAGGCCTAGGAACTGCTTGAGACCAGGACTTACATGAGATTGGGGCGGTGCTTTGTGCTTGTGCATTTCATCCATAGTGGGCTGTCACCTTACACTCTGTCTGTTTTTCACAAACACTGGGGCCTGGACAGCTCTGGGAAATAGCAACGAGACCCCAAGCCAGTCATGTCTAGGCTCACTGCTCCAGGCTAGCTTGAACTGGCCATGATCCAAAGCTGTTCCAGCTGGTCAGTAGTGATCCATGTGAAACGGAGCTGGGGGGTGCCCAGGGACAGGTGTCTTCACTATAAAAACAACCCCCCAACCGCTATTCCACCCTGGCTGGCAGTCTCAAGTTAGTATTACATTGCCCTGTACTGAAAACTGACTTGTTCCCCCCATCTTTACGTATGCTGGGTGTGTGCGCGAATGACTTCTTTTGCAAGCTTATTTGCCAGGGTTTCATTGGTAAAAAGTTTGGACAATTATTTATTGTATTTTTACCTCTGTGAGGGCCCGATCCCCTTTCCATGGTAGAACGGGGCCTACAGTCTATACATGCCAAAAAATGACAACACAACTCTATAAACCCAATTATCTAGGCAGTTATACCTCTGGGCCCCTAAAGCTCATAGAAACCTAATAGTAGATTGACTCTCACAGTTGTATTCACACACACACGCTACTTTCTCCTGCCACCTTTCACAGCAGTGTGCTGTCTAACAGGTCTGTATGAACACTAAATTAACCTACGAAGAAGCTTCTCCTACCTGGAGCTAAATGAGGCCATAATCCGTTTTCCAGCCGAACGGAGAGAAATTCCTTTCTGCTTCTGATTGCAGGCTCTTCATGCCAAACTTGGTGCCTCCCAAGATCCCAGATGGGGAGAAAGTGGACTTTGATGTGAGTATTGGGTGCCCAATGGACTGTGGGCCTGCTCTGTGGGTAAGCCATGGGCTTCAGTCACCGGGGCTGTCAGGCTGGCACTAAATTCACTCATGCAAGCATCTCCTAGTCCCTCCAGGCATGTACCCAGCATGCCCAGACAGTACCAAGTCTGCCAGCCCCTCTGGGTATGTACCCAGGGGACCTGGTACCATGCCTGCCAGCCCCTGCTCTCATCCTTAGATGGCCCCTGGCTCCCACGGTGCCCTAGTGGCTATTGATCTGGGAGGGCAGTAGCGATGGCTGGCTCAGGGTCATGTTCCATACAGGACATTCACCGCAAGCGCATGGAGAAGGATCTGAACGAGTTGCAGGGCCTGATCGATGCCCATTTCGAGAACAGAAAGAAAGAGGAAGAGGAGCTGATCTCACTCAAGGACCGAATAGTACGTCTGGAGGTCCCAGATTGTCCCGTTACTCCTCCCCCCCGCGAGTCTCCAAGTTAAGGGCCATGTTCTGTCCCTGCTGAAGACATGGGGGAGCAGGGTCAAGCCCTAGAAAAGCAAGATGCGGACTCAGGGGAGAGAGAGGGGACCAAGGTCTGATCCAGACTGAGGAGCCTGGACCCAGGACTTGGGAAGTGCCATCTTTCATTATTTGATACCAGGTCATGTGGTGCCCCGCCACCCATCATCCTGGTGGCCAGCCATGTCTGGAGGAAGCAGAGGTCACGTGGCAGGGAAACGGGCACTCCTGACCATACCAACAGAGCAAATGCTTCCCCTTGGGCTGGGCCCCTAGTCACTTGGGATCCAGAGAGAGCTCTCCCTGGGTCCCTCATGTGGGGGCGGGGGTCATCCCTGGCCTCGAAGCCCAAGCCTTGTTCTTCCCCTGCAGGAGCATCGGCGAGCGGAGCGGGCGGAGCAGCAGCGGATCCGCAGCGAGCGGGAGAAGGAGCGCCAGGCCCGCATGGCTGTGAGTGTCCCGCCTCCCAGAGCAGGAGAGGGCCAACAAAACCCCCAGTGATGGAGCCGGGTCTAGCCTTCTCCCCTGTCGTCCAGCTGGGAGCAGCTGCTGTTACCCCTTCTCGTACTGCAGGGACCTTCCTTCTAGCTGTGGGGGACTCCCCTTTAGTGCAGCTTCTAGATCAGCCGGCAGGGATGCTCCAGACCCACCTGGGACTGAGACTCCTAGGCCCTGCTTGGCCCAGGGAGCTGGTGGCCACATATTCCACCAGGGCCCCTTGGTTGAGCTGCAGCCTTGGGCTGGGCTGCTCACAGCTCTCCCAAGCGATGCTGGGCTGGGCTGGGTTAGCGCTCTGCTGGGGAGAGCTTGAATGAACCTCCAGGCAATGGAGGAAGTGGTGTTTGCTTCATCACAGGGTGTTCTTCCTCCCAAGCCAGCACCCAGCTCCAGAGGGGCTCAGACAGGGGCCTGCACCACTTGCAGTGTTGTTAAGTGACTGCGTTAAATGGTGACAAAGCCTGGTGTCCAGGCTGATGTCCAGTACTGGTGACTGCTGCCCTGAGCCCCACTTGCCCTTCTACTTGGGGGAGTTATTCATGGCTGGTGCACACTGGCCACTGCAGCCTACGGGTGGTTGCTTCTGTTGCATGGGGAGGTGCCTTCAAGGGGCAGCAAAGCCCATCGGTACATAAGCAGCTATCATGGCATGTGACTGTGCAGCCCTTGGTCTGGTCTGTAGCTGTCTGTGTGTTCCCAGCGGCTCTCACTCTGCTGAGTCTGTCTCTCCAGCAGCAGTGAGTTCCCCTGGCTTCCCTCGAGACCCCTCTTGCTCTGGCTTTACCCCTGACAGGAAGAGAGAGCCCGCAGAGAGGAAGAGGAGGCCAGGAAGAAGGCGGAAGAGGATGCCAGGAAGAAGAAGGCTTTCTCCAACATGCTGCATTTTGGGGGCTACCTGCAGAAGGTACGATTCCAGCTTGGGGTGCTTGGGAACTGGCCGTGGTGGTGGTAGCCAGAGTCCCCACCCAGTAGCAGGACTCAGCGTGTGTGTTCGTCCTGCTGTTTACTGGGGGCCAGATGCCAACTGGGGACCCTCATGGCAGCATCTCTCTCTGCAGCATGTCCAGTCCCCATGGCATCCCAATGACCCTGGGCCGTGCTAAGCTGGCCTCTGGCCCAGGCGATTCTAACTTTACAACTGCCTGCTCCTCCCACTCCTGATTCTGTTCCTTTGTCTCTGTTCCTGAAAACCAGAGGTCCCTTTGCAATCAGGCTGCTTCAGTCCTTGGAGCTGGCATAACTGAGTGGCTGGTGGCAGGGGTGGTGGGTCGACTCTAGGTGCAGAGAGTGCGTATGGACCACCCTCAGGACACAGAGACATAAGAACGGCCATACGGGGTCAGACCAAAGGTCCATCCAGCCCAATATCCTGTCTTCCGACAGTGGCCAATGCCAGGTGCCCCAGAGGGAGTGAAGAGCTCGGAAGAAACAACACTAAGGCAGCCAAAGGCTGGCTAGCGCCGCGGGAGGAGCAGCCTGCAGCAGCTAGAGGCAAATGTCTGTCTTAGGGCTGTAGTTGGGGGCTCCATCCCACAGTTAAAGGGACCAGCTGTAGGGGAGCATGCTGGGAAAATTCCCATGAAAGGAAGACCCCCAAGTGGAGCGTTAAGGGGGTGAGGGAGAAGAAGCCTGAGCTGAGGGCAGAGGTTGTGGAGGAAGGGGCCGTTGGTGCAGTTCCACTATTCTGTCCTCCTTTGCTTTTGCGAGGAGATTGTGCTTAAATCAGAAAACTCCAGGGCCCGATTCTCCTGCTGCAGGAGAGGGGTGAGTCTCACTGAAGCTTCCTGCATCCTTTGGAGGTGTTATTTCCTGTGCGATAAGGTCATCGCCAGAGCATCAGACTTTAGCCGATCTCCCTACCCACTAGACAGAACCATGGCAGTCACCTAGGGCAGCCTTCTTGCTCCCTTCTCTGTGCAGGGCACTCAGCCCTCAGGACTCTGCCGCGCAGACTTTACTGGCATGACAGGCTGCCTGTCTTCCAGGCTGTTTGTTCCGTGGCTGGTAGTTTTGGTGCTGTCCATGCCCTTCTGGGGAGAAGTACCATTTTTGGAAGTATTACAGCTCCGCCTAGGGGCCCAGCTGAGATCAGGCCCCCTTGTTCCAGGTGCTGTGCGCCCACAGTGAGAGAGTCCCTGCCCTAAAGAGCTCACAAGCTAACTATATAAGACAAAAGTTAGGCAAGGGAAACTGAGTCACAGAGCAGGCAAGTGACTTATTTGAATAACCCAGCAGGTCAATGGCAAAGCTGGAAATAGAATCCAGGTCTGCTGAGTCTCAGCCTAGTGCCCCCTCCACTGGACTAGCCTCATGGCAAGTGGACTGCCTGAAAAGGCTGGCTGGGGTGGGCATCTTGCTCAGCTCCGCTGGGCTTCCCCTTTGGAACCTCTCCATGCCATTGAGGTGTAGGGGTCACTCCAGCTCAGTGCGGGGAGAGGAGGGGGAATTAAATTCCCTCTGACTCGGGCCAGCTGATGTCTTCAGACAGAGAAGAAAAGTGGGAAGAAACAAACGGAGCGGGAGAAGAAGAAGAAGATCCTCAGCGAGCGGCGGAAGCCTCTGAATATCGACCACCTGAACGAAGACAAGTTGAGGTGAGGGTAAGGGAGGGACTGGGGCAGTACCCTCCCCCACAAACCTACCAGGCTGAAGACGAGCTCACAGGCTGGAGCCTGAGTCCCAGAACCCTTTGCATCACTAACCCAGAGGGGCAGCAAATCAACCTGCCCCCTCCCACCTCTTCCTTCACCCCAAGCGAGGCCAGCTGCCCCCCCTCCTGTACCAGACTGTGAGGAGCCCTCACCACCAGGGCAGCGCTACGCACTGCGGTGGCCAGGCTGCCCGGGTTGAGCTGTGGGACGCCGTCGATGCAGGCGTGCAGATGCAGGGGGGAGCGCCGAAAGGCAGTGGGTGTGCCGCGCTGGAGTGAGAAAGCAGCAGCAGATCATCTGTGACCCAGCAGCTCTGGGCTGCCTCAGCCCTCGATCCCCATTACTCCCGCTGCGGCCAAGGGGATGGCAGCTGTGGCTGCCGGCTGGGATGGAACTCGAGCAGCAGAAGCGCAAGGCCCCAGCATGGGAGCCAAGAGGGAAACTCCAGGGCTGTGAGTAAGTAGCAGGCTGGTATAGTCACAGGGGCTGGCTGCTGGGGGAGCTGTGATCACACACCCTATGCCTGTGTTATGTCCCCATCGTGGACCAAGGGCACTGCATGGTCCTAGGTGTGCTAAGCTCCAGTAGGCAGCAGGTGCCGACATGGTGTGAACTCAGGCATTGCTCCAGTCCCCTGTATCTACCCTGTTGGGGGGCAAAGCCTAAAGAACCTCATCACAAGTGGGACTGGAGGCTGGTGGGGATCAGAACTGTGTGTGGTTCGGTGAATCACATGGATAACCTTCCGTGCCCCCCTGCATCTCCTCACTGGCTTCCCATGGCTTTCCCCCCAGGGACAAGGCCAAGGAGCTGTGGCAGAGCATCCACGACCTGGAGGCTGAGAAATTCGAGCTGCAGGAAAAGTTCAAGCGGCAGAAATACGAGGTGAGGGTTGTTCTGACCTCAGCTTCCCCCTGTGGCCCCATCTCTGCTGTGGGGAGCCGGCTGAGGCTATTGTACCCAGCCTGCCAACTGTATCACGGGGAAACCTGAGGAAAGCTCCCTCATTCTCCTGGGAATGGAGGTTGTGATGAGATCCCCAGTCCCATTCCTTAATCTGGATTTGAACCCAACTCTCCAAAAGTGCAAGGCCAGTGCGCTCAGGTGAGTTGAGCCAGACCCTGAGCTGGTGTAAATCAGCAAAGTGCTAATGACCCCAGCAGAGTTACACCAGTTTGTGCCAGCTGAAGTGGTGGCCACAGAGCTTTAGTGAATGCCATGTGAGCATTGTAGACTCCCAGCTATCAACACTGCAAAACAGCCTGCTGGACGTGGACACCTGTGGATCATCTAGCCAGCTGGAATCTCCCTAAGCAGCAAACACCTGGCTGTCTGTCAGGCCCTCCCGTTCTGTACACTCACAAGTCGCCTAATGGCTGGATTATTTTATGCTCTCTCCTAGCACAGCGAACGGATAGCTGAACTATCTATCACATTTCCAGTGCATCCATCACCACACCCAGGGTTCACTAACATTGTTTCACCATCCACATCCTCCCTCAGCACAAGCAAAGTCTTTGTGGTTGTGTGCTAAACCCTGTCAGGGCATGGCTGGTGTCTCGCCAAATTTGGCTCTGGCTCATGGTTGAGAAGTTGTCCCAAAGAAGCCTTGGTTGAATGTGGCTTCCAACCATGGCAGCCCGAGTAGGGCATCTTCAGCCTGTAGCTCCAGATCTTTTTTCTATACGCCTTTGCTCTGGGTTCAGTCCTGTGAAGTGCTTAGGCCCAGATCCTCAAACACATTTAGGTGCCTAACTCCCTTTGAGGATCTGAGCCCGAGCGCCCATGACTTGTGGTGAAGATGAGTGCCCGTCACAGCATCAGGCCCTCTCTCTGTTAACCTCCCCTCTGAGTGCTTGCTTGTGTCTGCCTTTTAATGTTCTCTTCTCTCTAACTCCACCAGATTGTCACGCTCACTGCTCGCTGCGATGAGCTAAGCAAGTAGTAAGTACCACCCAGCTCACGGCCGCAGCTTCCTGCCTGGGTTTGTGCTTGACACGCTGGCTGGCTGAGAGGGAGCAGACAGTCCTGCTGGCATAGGGAAGAGCCCAAGCAGAGATCTGTGTCCGTGAGCCATAGATCCAGGTGGGATGTATTAAGATGGAGGTCTACTTAGGGGCTAGGTAACAAATGGATAGATGGGAAGGTGAATGAGTGAGAACCTAAGAATTGCCAGCCCAGATCAGCCCCCATTCCCCTATCTAGTACAGTCTCCTAACAGTGGCCAGAACCTGCTGCAACAGAGAAAGGTGCAAGTAATGTCGCAATCGAACATCCTGCCCCTCGAGGGAGATTCCTCCTAACCCTTATCAGCTCGTGCCCTGAAGCATGACCCTTTTTTGAAACCTGTTTATGAAGGGACAGAGGGGTGAAAGAAACGGGGAATGCTCTACATTAAAGACCCCATTACCTGGTTTTAGAGCTATTGGTAACTCAGAAGTGCAGGATCTTGAATGCCTATGGATCAATCTGCTAGCAAACAAAGACCAGGACTGGGTACTGGTGGGGGGCGGTCTTTTATAGACCACCAAATGACCGAGTCAGTTACTCCTTAATTACCTGGCTGTAATGTGTGGAAAGGAAACATTGTAGTGTTATGGGGACTTCTGTTTGAGAGACACTCACTCATGGTCTCCTGCAGCCAATAGAAAACCATTAGAATTTCTAAAACTTATAGGCGATGGATTTTCTAACAGACAGTGCACCCGGCGCAAGGCAGACCCATTTTGGCCATCATTTTGAAGATTAATGATTCAGTGGATGGGAAGTTGGTGGTTGCCAAGGGACCGAGAATCATGCCCTAATTATGTTAATTGATTCATAAATTCCAAGGCTGGAGGGGACCATTTTGATCATCTAGTCGGACCTCCAGTAAAAGGCCAGAGAACTGCTTCAAAATAGTTCCTACAGCAGACCTTTTAGAAAAACATCCAAGCTTGATTTAAAAATTGTCAGTGATGGAGAATCCACCACGACCCTTGGTAAATTGTTTCAATGGTTAATTACTGTCTCCAGTATAAATTTACACCTTCTTTCCAACCTTAATTTGTCAGTATAGAGACACAGATGGACTATAAGGTGGAAAGAAAACTGGCTAGATTGTCGGGCTCAACGGGTAGTGATCAATGGCTCCATGTCTAGTTGGCAGCCGGTATCAAGTGGTGTGCCCCAAGGGTCGGTCCTGGGGCCGGTTTTGTTCAATATCTTCATAAATGATCTGGAGGATGGTGTGGATTGCACTCTCAGCAAATTTGCGGATGATACTAAACTGGGAGGAGTGGTAGATACGCTGGAGGGGAGGGATAGGATACAGAAGGACCTAGACAAATTGGAGGATTGGGCCAAAAGAAATCTGATGAGGTTCAATAAGGATAAGTGCAGGGTCCTGCACTTAGGACGGAAGAACCCAATGCACAGCTACAGACTAGGGACCGAATGTCTAGGCAGCAGTTCTGCGGAAAAGGACCTAGGGGTGACAGTGGACGAGAAGCTGGATATGAGTCAGCAGTGTGCCCTTGTTGCCAAGAAGGCCAATGGCATTTTGGGATGTATAAGTAGGGGCATAGCGAGCAGATCGAGGGACGTGATCGTTCCCCTCTATTCGACATTGGTGAGGCCTCATCTGGAGTACTGTGTCCAGTTTTGGGCCCCACACTTCAAGAAGGATGTGGATAAATTGGAGAGAGTCCAGCGAAGGGCAACAAAAATGATTAGGGGTCTGGAACATATGAGTTATGAGGAGAGGCTGAGGGAGCTGGGATTGTTTAGCCTGCAGAAGAGAAGAATGAGGGGGGATTTGATAGCTGTTTTCAACTACCTGAAAGGGGGTTCCAAAGAGGATGGCTCTAGACTGTTCTCAATGGTAGGAGATGACAGAACGAGGAGTAATGGTCTCAAGTTACAGTGGGGGAGGTTTAGATTGGATATTAGGAAAAACTTTTTCACTAAGAGGGTAGTGAAACACTGGAATGCGTTACCTAGGGAGGTGGTAGAATCTCCTTCCTTAGAGGTTTTTAAGGTCAGGCTTGACAAAGCCCTGGCTGGGATGATTTAACTGGGAATTGGTCCTGCTTTGAGCAGGGGGTTGGACTAGATGACCTTCTGGGGTCCCTTCCAACCCTTATATTCTATGATTCTATGATTCTAAGAAGGCCAATGGCATTTTGGGATGTATAAGTAGGGGCATTACCAGCAGATCGAGGGACATGATAGTTCCCCTCTGTTCAGCATTGGTGAGGCCTCATCTGGAGTACTGTGTCCAGTTTTGGGCCCCACATTACAGGAAGGATGTGGAAAAATTAGAAAGCATCCAGCGGAGGGCAACAAAAATGATGAGGGGACTGGAACACATGACTTATGAGGAGAGGCTTAGGGAACTGGGATTGTTTAGTCTGCGGAAGAGAAGAATGAGGGGTGATTTGATAGCTGCTTTCAACTACCTGAAAGGGGGTTCCAAAGAGGATGGCTCTAGACTGTTCTCAGTGGTAGCAGATGACAGAACAAGGAGTAATGGTCTCAAGTTGCAGTGGGGGAGGTTTAGGCTGGATATTCGGAAAAAACTTTTTCACTAAGAGGGTGGTGAAACCCTGGAATGGGTTCCCTAGGGAGGTGGTGGAATCTCTTTCCTTAGAAGTTTTTAAGGTCGGGCTTGACACAGCCCTGGCTGGGATGATGTAGTTGGGGATTGGTTCTGCTTCGAGCAGGGGGTTGGACTAGATGACCTCCTGAGGTCTCTTCCAACCTGGATAGTCTATGATTCTATGATCCAAACCGCTAATATATATACTTTGTGCTTCAACAGGGCTAATTTCCCAAAGCTGATGAAAGTTTTATGAGTGAAATTGAAGTGGGGGGGAGGGTTTAGATAGTAAAACATGAATGAAAATTGGGATTTCTTAAACAAGAGTTGATTCGATTGTCATCACTGTATAATTAAGAAATAGGACAACTTTGCATAAAAGTCCATCCTGGTTCAGTGGAGAATTGAAGACATCAATTTAGAAATAAATTAAAATCAAATGGGTTGGGGGGAAGGAGAAATAGATCACAAGCAATATAAATGAGTGGTTATGAAGTATAGAAAATTAATAAGAGAAGTTAAAGACCTCAAGTTAAATTTCATGGCTGGCAGGTCTAAGGACAATAAAGAGGCGTTTTTTAAGCATGAACAAAAGAAATCCTAACAATAGTTTAAGCCTGTTAGTAGTGGTGATGGTAAAATTGTTAATGAGGCAGCAAAAGCAGAAGTGTTCAATAAATATTTCTGTTCTGTATTTGGAAAGAAGCAGGTTGATGTACTCATCAGATGAGGATGATAAACAGTATCTGCTAATTTTAAATCAGCAGGCCTGTATAACTTGCACCCAAAAGTCCTGAAAGAGTTGGCTGAGGAGATCTCTGGCCCGTTGATGTTAATTTTGAATAAATCATGCAATACCTGGGAAATCCCTTCCAGCCTTAAAATCTCTGAATCTAATATAACTCTAGATGTTCCCATTATATAAGTAGGGGCATAGCGAGCAGATCGAGGGACGTGATCGTTCCCCTCTATTCGACATTGGTGAGGCCTCATCTGGAGTACTGTGTCCAGTTTTGGGCCCCACACTTCAAGAAGGATGTGGATAAATTGGAGAGAGTCCAGCGAAGGGCAACAAAAATGATTAGGGGTCTGGAACATATGAGTTATGAGGAGAGGCTGAGGGAGCTGGGATTGTTTAGCCTGCAGAAGAGAAGAATGAGGGGGGATTTGATAGCTGTTTTCAACTACCTGAAAGGGGGTTCCAAAGAGGATGGCTCTAGACTGTTCTCAATGGTATCAGATGACAGAACGAGGAGTAATGGTCTCAAGCTGCAGTGGGGGAGGTTTAGATTGGATATTAGGAAAAACTTTTTCACTATGAGGGTGGTGAAACACTGGAATGCGTTACCTAGGGAGGTGGTAGAATCTCCTTCCTTAGAGGTTTTTAAGGTCAGGCTTGACAAAGCCCTGGCTGGGATGATTTAACTGGGAATTGGTCCTGCTTTGAGCAGGGGGTTGGACTAGATGACCTTCTGGGGTCCCTTCCAACCCTTATATTCTATGATTCTATGATTCTATGATTATAGTTATCTATATAAAGGTCACATCCTTGTTTTTGCTCTTAAAACCAAATGACCAAAAGTGGCCACTGACGTTGGGTGTTTCCATTTTGCTGAAACAAGTAACCACTTCGGAAGATGTTGGCTTCATCCTCTCTGATGTGTGTCAGGGTGAATCAGGAGGTGGGGGTGTGAGTGGATATAATTGTGTAGTAGTGTGTTTAGGTGTGTGGGGAGATAGTTGGCAGAGTAAGGACTGATTTGGGCTGTTGCCTTCCTTGGGTCCGAAAGGGCCCAGATGCTGTCTGCTCTCTCCATGCCCCTCCGTGAAGTGTGTTTGAACCTTGCCTGGCTTGCAATGCTACCTAGGACCTCGACTCACTCAGTAAGGGAAGCCACGCATCCCTTGCCATGGGACATGTCTGGGTAAGTACACGAGCCCTTTCTAGACTGTTGATGAGCAATAACTGTCCTGTCCTTCCTGTCCCTGTGCTCGGAGTACAAACTGAGTCAGCAGTTTTGGATCTAACCAAACCGCCAATGTTCCTAGCCAGCCATCTATGGATTTGCTTTCCAGCTGGTGACAGCCCACACCACCCATCCCCCTTCCTTTCCTCCTGTACACATGGCTCACTTGGTCCCTACAAGCAGGATGCGTAGGGCCTATGTGTGAGGCTGGAGATGCACAGGGCTGCAGCAAGTTTGCACTGGAGACCTCAGATCCACGTAGCCCAGGTACTGTACACACGGAGCCCATGTCCCGTCATTCATGGGAGCCCTGGCAGGATGTGCCCATCTAGGCACAGCTGAGAACAGCTTTTGCTTGCTCCATACCACCATGGAGGTCGGGCTCTACCATTCATCTCTGTGCAGCAGGCATTGTTCTGTGGCTGGCCTGGAGAGGCTGGTCATACAGGAGAGAAGCATTGTGAAGAACACCTGCAGAGGCTTGGCCTTGTGAAAGAATCTCTTTCAGTTCCTCTATGGAAGGCAGGCAGTGAGTGTCTCTGTTAGGGGGCTTATTCCTTCACCCACTCACTTCCCTGGTCCTTCTCGCATGAACAGAGAGCAACAATACCCGAAGTCCAAAGGTGCAAACAGTTCGATGTTTATTGGGGTGAACTTCCAGCAAGCATGATTCCAGTTTCCTTCCTTAGTATCCTCCTTCCCAGCTCTGACACCACAGAGCCTTACACCTGTGTCCCTGTTCCCATTCCTGCCCTTAGTCAAACATGATTCCAATTTTCCCAGCCCCATTCCCTGTTCCCATTTCCCCTTTTAGCAAAACATGATTCCAATTTCCTTACCCCTGTTCCCATCTCCCACACCCACCCCCACAGCCACCCCTTAAGGTTAACCTGTCCCCCTTATTTTCAGGCTTGACTTGTTTTTTTCACTTCCCTTTCCTGGAGGGCCATAATCTGAGTCTTCTAGTAGCTTGTTTGCTGACCAGATGTATTCGTTATTTGCAGCTCCTTTGTGCCCATCAGCTAGGTAATTTGCCTTTACACACAGAGGCTTACTAGCTTGCTTTTGGATCCAAAGCTGTTAGCAGTTTAGAGAGTGTCTTAAAAGGGAAACATTCCACTAGAGTTCTGATTACTTTCCACTTTCATCTCCTGCTCCAAAACACACAGATCTGAAAAAGAAAGCACAACCTATTGTGGCTCCTTTTGGAGCCCTATTAGGATTTTAATGAAGTACCATGTTTTATTTGCATTTCTTTTACCCTTCTCCAATATACACCGCACACGTCCTGGGAAAATGCAAATTCCTTCCATATAGTTTAACCTCCATAACATCATATTAGCCAAATTAATTTTACACAAGGTATAACTGCCTCCCCCATACCCACAGAGTTTTCATGCACACCCACCAAAGCAACAATCTAATCCCCCAGAGCCATCCCAAGGCTCAGTGTTCCCATCAGTCTCTCACCTGACGCCACTGAGAACAGCCATGTGGGCTGCTCTCTGCATTCCCATGCACCGGTTGGAAGTGCAGCAGATGAGAGCCAGGTCTGGTCTGTGATGAGAAGACCAGACGAGAAGGGGATTCTCTGTTGGAGCTGCGGGTCACAGACCTGCCCTGTGGCTCTCTAGCTCCCAGCTTGACATAACACAGCCTGTGCTACCCACCATCACTTCCAGGGTCTCCCTGTGTCCGGGCCTGGACTAAGCAGGAGCTGTGGACTGCATGATGTGGCCAGGCCGCTCTGGAGGGTCAACTGGGGAGACCATTTCCTGCTCTGTCTTCCGCTGCCTTCTGGCAGCCCCCTGCCCAATGCAAGTGGCAGCCCCAGGACTCACTGTCCCTCTGTATTTCTCTTGCAGATTAATGTTCTCCGAAACCGCATTAGCGATCACCAGAAGGTGTAAGTACCAGGGCTGCCTTCTGCCTCCCCTCTCCCTTCCTGCCACCCTCTTTCAGCACTCGCCTGCTCTACTCTCTGCCTTTCCCCTTGGCCCCTCCTTTCCCCTCTTGTTGCCCCCATGGCTCTCAGCTCTCCCCTTCCCTTGCTGCTTCCTCTCCTTTCCCCATCTCTTCCTTGTCCGTATTTTGTTCCTTCACCTGTCCTCCGCCTCCCCTGCTCACCCCGTTGCTACTGCACATTGACAGGCACACAGAGAAGATCCCGTGATCTTTGTTTTTATCCTGCTGGTGCCTTCATCCTTCTTTTCTTCCTGCTCCTGCTTACACATTTCCCTATCCAACCCCCCCCCCACTCCTTTTTTTTCCTCTAACCTCCCTGTCTCCATGTCATTTCCCCTTTGCACCACTTCTCCCTTAATCTGGCATAGGGCGAGTCACATCCACCTCTAGTGGCTGGCCCACAGCGAAGATGACAACCTACTCTTGCTGCCAGCTGAGAATCCTTTAGCTCAAGTGTCAGGAGTGCTGGGTTCAAACCCTGATGATGTGGTCATAAGCCTGTGCTACTGGCCTCCCTTGTCATGATCCTGTATCATATATTGATTGGCTACAGAGCTTACATCTGAGTGAGGTACACACCAGGTGTGTTCAATATAAGGTCAGTTTATGCTATGCCAGGTATGGCTGAGGTTTGCTTAAATAAGGTATCTTACACACACCGCCACGTGGTGACTGAACTGTATAATATAGTTTAGCATTCCGTTACATCTCCCCCTTTAAGTGCTACATTCCTACCATTTGCAATAGTTACATGCTGTCTTTGGAGTTCAGTACTGATCAGTCTAAGTGTCTCTGAAATAGTACTGGTTTTCTAATTACATGGCCTGAATGCATAACGCCTCGCTCATCCGGCTGTCCGTTAGTTGCAATGACTAGCTGTGGTTGGTTTGGAATCTTTGAGTCGTCATCGCATTCTGCATCTACCACCTGTAGAGTTTGCTCCGTTGATTGCTCTTTCTGAGGAACAAACTGTAAGTGTTGACGGTTTCTGTTCAACTCTCCAATGTCGGTCTCGATCACATGATCTGATTACTACATTTTTTTTCTTGACAACAGTTGGAGTTGTCCATCCATCTTGTCCATCTGATTTGACATGAACTTAGTCACCTGGTTCTAAACCCGGCAGTGCTCTGAGTGAAGTCTGTTGTAAAAGTGTGAGCCTTTTTATCCAATTTGGCTACTGTCTTTGTGTCTGGCCACTTTGGAGTTAGAACTATTGTTCCAGTTTTGGAAAAGAACATGAGTTGTCTTCCCACCAGGAGTTGTGCAGGACAACATCCAAGAGCTGGTGTTGATCTGTAGCTCAGAAGAGCAAGGAACGGATCTTCCGGCTGAAGGATTTTCTTGGCTGCCAGTACAGCTACCTCAGCCTTTCTATTCGCTTGTGAGTAATGTGGGCTGCTAGTCATATGATCTAAGTCCTGTTTCTTTCAGAATGACTTAAATTCTGCTGCAGTGAATTGTGGTCCATTGTCCGTCACTAGTTCTGGAATACTGAAGATAAGCAAAAGAGCACTTCAGTGTTTCGATAACACTGTGACATGTTGTCTTTCAAGTACAGTGTTTCTATGTACTTGGAAAAATAGAACACAGTGATGTCCTCTGAATTCACATATATCTGCAGCTAGTCTCGTCCAAGGTCTCTCTGGTAGGGGTGTAAAGGTTCTTTGTATTGCACTGGTCTGTTAGTTCTGCAATGTTCACATGCAGATACTTTATTCTTTACGTCTTTGCTGATGCCTGGTCACCACACCAGCTGGTTGGCCTGTTCACAGCATTTAGTTAATCCTTGATGTCCTTCACGGATGAGGTTTAGGATTTCTCCTCTCATTTTGTTTGGAATTACAATGCAGTTGCCTTTTAATCATAAGTCCATTTGACTCGCTTAATTCTCCACACAGTACAATGTAGTCTTTTTGTCACTTACTTAGTGTCCTTTTAGATACTTGGGTCAGCCACCCATAATGTAACTTAGAACGTCCTGAAGTTGTGTGTCTGTCAAGGTTGCTTTTTGTAGATGGAGTAGTTTGTTTTGTTTTGTTTTGTTTTTTTCTGACACTGGTCTGTATGTGTCCACGAACACCTCTACATCATCTTCAAGCTCATGGGTAGCTGAGTGTGATGCTGGGCTCTGTGACCGTGTCTGGTACTACCAGCGTTTCCCAGGAACATATTTAGCAATTGGGTTAAATTGAATCAACCGTAGCAATAGACATTGGCATCTCAGTGGTACTTGATCCAGGTCTTGTCTGTTGATGAAGGTTGCAGGTGGTCTGAGTGGAAACAAATCCAGTCTGCACCGATATCTGTAAAAGGTCTCTCCTGCCCATGCGCTTGCCCGTCTCTCCTTTTCAATCGGTGCATATCGTTTTTCTGCTTCTGTGAATGAGCAAGAACAAAATGCAGCTGGCTTCTACTCAGAACCCTGTTAGTGCAACGATACACACCTAGTCCATAGCTACTTGTATCTGCACTGACAATGGTGGATTTCTGCATATCATAGTGCTTGAGAATTGGAGCTATGGAGATCATTTCTTTTACTGTAGCTCAGATGTGTTGGAATTTCAGTTCAATCAGTGGTTTTGTTACTGCAGAGAGGCCTTGCTGATATCGAGCAAGGTAACTTACTATCCCTAGTACATGTCTCAGTTCTGGTGAATGTATTCCACCAATGAAGGTATTCAGTTTTTGAATGGCTTTTACTTTCTCAGACCTAGGACTGGTTCCATCTTTGTCTATCCCAAAAACACAATTTGGGGCAGGCAGAAAATGCACTTTGCCTGGTATAGCTTTAGCTTCAGGCTGACTGACCGATGTAGGCTCAGGACTTCATTGAGGGTTTTGTTTTTCTTCCATCAAAGAACGATGTATCAGAATATCATCCATGAAAAGTACAACTCCGTTTGTGTTTAACAGTTCTTCCATCTTTCTTTGTGAACTTTCAGGTGCACTGGTGATTCCAAAAAGTAATCTTCAAAAACAAAATCTCCCAAAGATGAGATAAATGTAGTCAGTTTAGCACTGTCTTTGGCTAAAGGAATTTGCCAGATTCCATTCGAGGCATCCACCTTGGAGAATACTGTTGCTCCTTTCAGTTGGGGAAAGAAGCCATCCAGTGTGTGTATGGACAGCGGGGGTGTTGATGTTTTGCCACCATCATACGTGATCTGGGCAGTGAATTCTTTCTTTGCCACAGCTAGAGTTGTTTATCTTTTTTCTCCATCACACTTGTGACCCCATGTCATGCTCCTGGATCAGATATAGATTGGTTCCAGAGTTTATTTCTGAGCATGATACACACCAGATGTGTTCATCATATGATCCTTTAACGGACTGCCAGGTATGGCTGAGTTTAGCTTAAACATGGTATTTGACACGTACATAGCATCACCTGGTGACTAAACGGGATAATACAGTTCAGCATTCCATACTCACACCCAGCTCCTTTCTTCTCATCTTAGCAGGATCTCTTCCATCTCTTGTCTTGCCTCCTCGGTTCTCAGGCTCCCTGTTCCCCCTTGTCTTTGTTCCTCCACCACCGTTCCCCTCCCCTCTTACCCTACTCACTCTCCTGGGCCCTGCTGAGCCTTCATCGCTTGCGGTCCCTTCTCTCCTCCTTTCTTTCACTTGAGTTTCTCCTTCCTCCTTTACCCTCTCCCAATGTCTCTTCTCGTCCCCCCCTTTCCCTTTTCCCCCCGCCCTGCCTCACTGCTGCCGTCCCCTCCCAGGCCCCTTGGCTCTGATATTTCCTTCTCCCCTTGTTGCAGTTCTTTGAGCTGCTCTTGGTTTTGAGACCCATCTGTAGTGGGTTCTGGGGGCCTGGCCCCATAGGAGGACAGTGGGAGGGCCTGCGTATGGAAGGTCCTTGCCTCCAGTGGATCTCAGAATCCACAGGCCCCACCCCCACGGGAGGCCCCCCTCTCCGTCCCCCCCCCCAATATCCACTCTCTTTCAGAGGAGCGGGGATGGGCTGCCCTCTGTGTGAGGCAAATGCAGGCAGCGTGATACCTTACAGCAGCCTGGGCTGCTGTATCTGGAAACCATGTCCTCTCTCCAGCCAGCCCAAGTGGCACAGAGAGGGACCCAATCCTGAATGTCTCAGACTGACAGTCTGTCTAAACCAGTATCCTGGCCTCAGTCGTCCTATCACATGGCGTAAGGGTGACAGGATCAGGCCCTCCATTGCCATGGATCCTACCTGGCCCATTCTGGGCCAGATCCCCTGGTAAACGAGAGGGGTTCCACTGAACATTGGGAATTCCCATTTCCACCAGGTGAGGGCAGGGCACCAGCCTGTTTGGATACAATTCTCTCTTGCCTGCTTTTTCTTCCCTCTAATTCTTATCTGAGGATCGGCGGGTTTGAGTCTGCTCTCTTTCACTGGTGTAACTGTTTTCAATGCCATTTTCACGAGTGTGAATGAGAGGGGAATCTGGCCTCAGGGGGTTACTTCTGATTTATACCGGAGTGAGTGAGAGTGGACTCAGGTCCATCACTAGAGCTTCCTAAAAAAAAAAAAAAAAAAAAAAAGGGTGGGGGGCATAATTTGAGTGGAAAATCTTCTCAAAAATTTTGTCCCTTTTTTAAATCATGATTTTGAATTTCAGAACCTTTCAGCCCGCTCCATGCGTTACATCTCCAGGCCCATCCCCTTTTGCATCTGTCCCACGCCTGAATCAAACCCCTCTGCGGCTACATTTGGACACATGGCTGGGGGCAGTTTGGCCGGAGGGTCGTTTTGTACTTGGGAGGGGAATGGGAATAAGCTGTCGGAGCAGCAGAACTTGGTAAGGCATCGGGCTCGTGTTCCCGTGTAGATGTCTCTCTGGTGACCAAGAGCAAGGGGTAGAAAGAGACAGGGGAAGCCCAGTAGCTAGCAAGTCATTTAGCCTTTGCCTTGAGGCATCAGCCAATCTATAACCCATACTGATGAGTAGAGCACCTTTTAAACCCTGCTCTCTGAGAATCTGATGCCCAGTCATGTGGCAGCTAGGAGCATTCTGCGCTGTTTACGCCAAATCTCTCTTCTCTCTTCCCCTCTGACGTGACCCGGCCCTACAGCAAAGGGTGAGTAGCATGGCCGTCCTTGTGCTGCGTGGGTCTGATCTGGTTTACACTACATGCATGCTGCATGGGGAAACCGGTTTGAAGTGAAGCTGAATCTGGGGAGGGAAAACTGGGAGTGGTCTAAGCAACTTCTTGTCACCATGGTATGTTTGCCAGGGCCACTTTTCATAGTGTCCTGGGGCTTGGGCAGGGGAGCTATGAACAGACCAGAGCAAGAAGGAAACCTGGCTCCTTTGGGCTCATCTTATTGGAAGGGTTCAGTGATTACAGTAAAAAATCTAACTCCTTAGAGCATTGTTATATTTGGATCTTGAGCTCTGTGATTGGTCATTTAGTCACATGGGGTGGTTTCTCTTCCCTGATTGGATACACTAACCCTTATAAACAGAAGGAATTTCTGAGGCATTGAACTTGTCAGGCACTGCAAGCAGCTGGAGGTATACAAGCTACAGGGCTTGTGGGACCTGGGCAATCTCAGCCTGACCTCTCTGCCCCAGGAAGAGCCATGGTCCCCCAAAAGAGTTAGCAATAGAGGGCTCCTCTCTGGGGGAGGCAGAAGGGAAGGCCCAAGCCCCATTGACTGGCTGCCAGGACAGAGTTGGGAGTTTGTTCTAAACTCTGGGAAATAAAGGTCACTTTTCTCCTCACTGACTTGGGGCCAGATCCCTCCTGGTGTAAGGCAGCGTTGCTCTCTTGACTGTAATGGAGTTGTGCCAGTTTACACCAACTAAGGGTTTGGCCCAGACACTTTGACACACTGGCCAGTCCTAATGACCACAGACACACCATCTTGGCTTGTATTCACCTCTGCACCACTGTCTGGGCCCTTCCCTGTCTGACCAGGCAGAAGGGCCAAGTGAGCAGAGCACATATAAAACACGTGGACTGGAATGCTCTTAGACAATTTCACCGGCCCTCCCCCCGGGCCTGATTCTTTTCTCATTGGCACCTGGTGCAAATAAGGAGGGCCAGTGTAGACAAGAAAAGAATTGGGCCCAATGCACTCGAATAATACCCACTCACCATCACTGCCACTTGGTGGAGGGGGACATTGTGTAGCTGTTTCTACCCCGGCCAAGTCCTCAGGATTGACTTCTTCATTGTTTTCCTAAAGACTCTTTGGGATGAGAGAGGGGGTGTCGCTGACTGACATACCTGCCTTGGCAAAGAGTTTTGGCCAATCTATTTGGGTCCAACCTTTGTCCGTGAAATGCGTTTGCTAAGAGCCAAATCCTAGCTCCATGAAAGCCAATGGTAAAGGCCCCTTGACCAGGATTTGACCCTAGGGAAGGCTGCCCCAGAGATTTCCTCCCTTTGTTTGCAGTGAGCTTCAGTCTTCCCTTCCCTCTCCAGCTGGGAAGAGAGCATAGCTCCTGAGGAACCCAGACCGCTCCCTGCTCTCAGCTCTTTTCACACCCCCTCGAAGGAACACCTTTCAGCAGGTGCTTCTCTGCTTCCCTTCCAGCTCGAAGGCTGCCCGTGGGAAGACCGTGGTTGGCGGCCGATGGAAGTAGCACCCGTCGGATGGGCACGAGGTAGAGAGGAGAGGCCCAAGCACGGAGCGGTGCATTCCTGTTTGGTCAGCCAGCTGGATTCCGTTTTACCACAGATCCTGCACGAACCCACCCGCCACCCCAAAGGACGCAAACCCATTGTGCTTGCACAGCTCTCACTGCAGGGGCAGCACTGTGTGTGTGTGGAGCAAATGCTTTGCTAGGTCAGTGCTGCTTGCTCTCTTCACCGAACCCCGGGATGCTACTGTGTCTGTAAATAAAGAGCATCAGAAAGGGAGATGTGCCTTTCCTGCCCAGCCATATTCCATCTGGCCTGCTTGCTAAACTTGACCTACTGCCCTGTGCCCAGAAGATTCAGGCCGTGGAGCTGACCCTCAGCTGGTGTATGTCACTGTGGCACCATTGAACCACGCGAATAAACGCTACCAGAGGATCAAGCTCTCGGAGTGCAGTGGAGCTAGGTTGAGCTCCAGCCACTGAGTGTCTGCTCCCTGCTAGTGCTGGATGAACCTTAGTTTCAGAAAGGTCCCAAAACTGTTGGTTGAATTCCAAACAGCCCACTTGATTTTGAGAAGCTGGGCTGGGAGACTCTTGAAAACCCACGAGGGGCTTGTCTACACGGGCTGTTTGGGTGCAGTAAGCCAGGATGTGAGCGTACGGGGTGCTAGCTTGCCATGTGGACACCGCCCCAGTGCACGGAAAGCTCTGAGAGAGCTTTGACTTAAGCTATGTCTACACTACAGAGCCACGGCCCGAAAGGGGGAGTTCTGCCAGTCCAGGAACACCAACTCCCCCAATGACATTAGCGCTCTGCTGTTTGCACAGCTGCGTCTACACTGGGGGTTCGGTTGGTGTGGCTCCGGCACTCGGGGTGTGGTTTTTCACACCCTGAGAGACCTAGCTAGGCTGCTGTAAATTCTAGTACAGTCCAAGCCTTCCTGCACTTTGCAAGTAGCAGCAGCTACAGCGGACTCTGGGACTTTCGCGGCACTCTTGCAGGATCTGTGTAGGACGTTGCCACGCAGCAGTGTAGCGGGCTGTAGATTTATATCCTGGCCAGCTGTACAGTAATGTCTCCTGCAGATAAGCCCTTAATCACGCTCGTGAGGCACTTCCAGCTGTTGGATGGGTCAGAAATACCATGAGGCTATGGCCCCTCTCCCACACTATTCCAGTGCTCAATCTCTGTCATAGAGTTAGAGCTGTGGGGTTGTCTTGCTTGTGTCCCTGTGAGTCTGAGACAGGAGCAAGGGTGAAAAACCGATCTCTGTCCTGCTTCAAGTCACAAACAACTCCTTCTCTCATTTCAAATCCACTTGGTTTAGTTTCATGACATAGCTCTTAATGCTGAATGCTCCCACCTGGTGCAATGGAAGGAACGTGTGCTTTTCTCACGTCCCGGTCTCGCATGGTGCACAGGGCCCTTGGATATCTCTAAGTGGCCTCCTATGCTCCCATGGGCAGGCATTGTAATCCCAAGTGCCTCTGGGCCTGCCCCATGGAGCAGGCGGTGGGTTGTCTCTGCAACACCTCTTGCTCCCATGAATAGTTGGAGGCCCTGCTGCCAACTCCCACCAGCTCCCTGCTTTGCCTTCCAGATTGGTAGACCTAGGAGCCTTTGTTTGCTTCTGACACCATCCACTGAAGATGTGAGCCAGCGCGCTCTGTAAATCCATACCTGTGGGTCCATCAACTCAGCTCTCTTAGCGGGCGAGCCTGGAGTATTGCTGTGACTAGTCAGCAGAGCAGCAGCTGTAATATTTGCTGCTGTGTACAGAGCAGGTCCACTGCAGATAGAGGTGGATATAATCTCTTGGCAATGGGGCTGGTGTATGATTCTGCACACGTGTGTCAGGGGAGAGCCTGTTTGGGCGTTGGGCCTTGCCATCCCCGACTGGCCTAGCTCCTAGGACAGTGAGTACCTGGCTGTTTCTCAGCAGACTCCTGTAGTGGACTAGGGCCTGGCTCTGAGTAGCTGCTCAGTATGGACCATGGGAGGAGGATCCACAACAGGCTCTATCTGCCCACAAATGGGTGAGACGGGCGGAGGAGGCGACCTCATGGGGTCCTTCGTCTTGCAGTGCTGTCTGTCTGGCTGCCTTCCCCGTCTGCATCCACCACACTAGTGCTCCCGGGGCATCCCAGCCCTGTGCTCAGTAACTGAGCTGGCTGGCAGTGGGGTCAGCCGACTGGCATCTCCCTACTGCCCCCTGAAGGTGGGTGGCACCATCCTGCCCCCTCCAAGGACCCCCCCCCTCAGGAATTGGGGGCACACCAGGCCTCAGCCTCCCTGCAACAAGCCTCTCTGAGTGGGAGTGACCATCCACACCATGAAAGGTTAATGAGAACGGAGGGGGCCCACTTGACCTTCCCTGGGCGGGGGGCAGAGAGGAGTGTTCCCTGCCTGCCCCCCCCCCCCCGGCGAACGGGCCCGTGTGGTTGAGCTGGGGCGTCCTAGGTGAAACTGATCTGGCAGAACTCACAAAAGGCCAGACCGTAGGGATCGTCTGATGGCAGCAGGGGCCTCAGCCTGGGTGGGTGGGATCGTTTCCCAGCTGTCGTCTGCCACAGAGGCTATGAGCAGGGGGCACTGGGGGCTTTGCTCTAGTTTAGAGAAACAGCCTGACACCCCTGTCCATGCCAGGAACTGGGACCCTGGCAGCCATGCAGAGAACGGGACTCTGACACGCACCCACATGGGCTCGCCACGAGGTGGCACCATGCACGCGCTCCCTGAAGGCCCGGTGTGCGGCTGGCCACACCCCGGAGTGCCACCTTGCTTCCCACACAGCCGCCTGTTTAAAGCAGTGCTGGCCCCCGGCCAGGCCAGGATGATGCGGCCACACCTGGGCGCTCTCCCAGGGCAACGCTCAGGCACCGTCCCACCCCATGCGTGGTGTTCGATAGCTGAGCCACGAGAGAGCAGCTGAGTCAGCAGGTGGGGAGAGCCAGCTCTCAGCTGGGCCTTCCCCAGCCACAGCCCCCGTCCCTCTCCACCCTGCCTCAAAGGCCTCTCCAAGTAGTCAGCTGCCTGCTGGCTTCAGAAGGGCCAGAGACCTGGCCGAGGACCTAGTGGCGGAGGGCGGTTTCTCTGACCGAGCAGCAGAGGAATGCAGGGCAGTAAGAGCGATGGGGGATGTTAGCGTGGTCAGAACCCAGCCTCCACGTGCCTGCTGCTGGGGTCAGGCTGCAGCACCAGGTCCTCTGGAGATGCCAGCCATCCAGCAGCAGCCTTCTGCACAGCCCCACTGTAGCGAGCAGGTCAGAGCAGAGGTAGGGTGCAGAAGCCATCAGCTGGCTCAGGACCATGCTGCATGCCGGGGAATCCCTTAGCCCTGCAGAAAGCCATGCATGTGGAAAGGGAACAGGTCCCCAGCCCTGGTGATCGCAGAGGCACCGTAAAACGTTGTGCTTGTGAGTGACTGACCAGCGGGGTGATGCTGGGAGCTGCCCCTTGCTAGGTCTTCATCTGACTGTGGGTGGTACGGTCTCCTCCGCCTGCTGTAGATAGAAAGAGGCATTTTTGGCACTCACTGCTCTCTGGGAGTCGAGGGAGAGATAAGGCTCGCAGGACCACAAACTGTGCCCCAGCAAGACCACCAGGGTCAGGCACATTCTGCTGAGAGGGTGGCTCTGGCAGTTGTTCAAAGTGCCAACCAGTGGTCCCGCTTTTTGGCCTGTGTTGAGCCTGAGTCAGCTGTGACCACACGTTCCACATGGAGCCTGGCACCCAGTGTGCACCCAATATTCAACCAACCTACATCCAATGTACACTCCACATGTACTCCGCATACTTCCAACATACACCCAGTGTACACCCAACATGAACTCAATGCACACCCACGGTACACCCGATGTACACTCAACATTATTCAGCATACTTCCAACATACACCCAGTGTACACCCAACATGAACTCAATGCACACCCACGGTACACCCGATGTACACTCAACATTATTCAGCATACTTCCAACATACACCCAAAGTACACCCAATGTAATCCAACATGCACACAATTTGCCGAGCGCAATGGAAAAATCTGCCCATATATTTTGGTGCCTACATGGACACTGAGCTTTCTTGAAAATCAGGCCTTGATTTGGCAAAGCCTTGAAACGTGCTTACTTTTAAGCATGTGAATAATCCCATCTGTCGCAGGGTGACTGGCCCTTTAAGAGGGAGAGGGGACCTGTGCACCTCTGCCTGGTCAGCTGCCACTCAGGTTTAAGAGAATGCACTTGGGCTTTGTAGAAAGGGAGACTGTTAGGAAGGGGCAGGTGACAACTGCCTGAAAACAGAGGGAGAAATGGCAGCTGGGGGAAAGGAGCGGAAGGAGCGCTGTACCTGTGAGTTACCCGTGATGAATGATGAGGACTGGCTAGCGCTGGGGAGCTGGGCTGAGTGGCAGGAGGGCTTGTGTAAAGGTAGGTGGGGATGAACCAGCTTGGTCACTGCAAGCAGAGCTCGAATGACTCTGCAGGGAAGCTCTCAGGAGAGGGCGGAGTAGGGCTCAACAAGGAGACCTGGGGAGGGGGCTGCTGTAGGAAGCCCCCCTTGCAGCAGGCCTGAGGAGCCCAGAAAGAAGGTGCTGGGGGGAGGGAGGTTCCCCTGAGCAGGGGTAGGACTGTCCGGCAAGGAGGCCTGGGAAGGAATCTTTGAACTCTCAGGCAGAAGGTCTAGTGAGTGGAGGCCAGGAAGAGGGGCTGACTGGTTCGTGACTCTCCGGTGGGTCAGCTGGTGACGGTTCCCTTTGAAAGGTGTTGAAGAGCTGTGGTGTTGTCCTTGTTTTGTTTTGATGTTCCTTTGGATGGATGGATGAAAGGGAAACTGAGGTGGGGTTGTGCCTGAACTGCCATGGCTGGCCTCCGGAGGGTGCCTGTGATGACGTTTCCCCATAACACCCTCCCTGCTCAACAAAGCACATGCTTCTGTTTTGTCTGGCTGTACCAGAGCCTGAATGTGGAGCTGTACGGTTGGGTGCTATCAGCATAGCTGTAGCCTTATAGCCCACAGCACCCTTATGAACACCTTTAGCCTCCCCAGATGTAAACCAAGAGGCAACAGGAATGAACCTTTCAGGACTTCATATGCCTGAAGGCAGGCAAACAGTTGTAGAGCAATACCAGGTAGCGATCATGAGAGCCATGCAGTGCAAAACGGAGTGAGGTAGCTACTGTGGGCCTAGAGCGTGTCGAAGTGAGCCAGAATTTATGGAGTTTATGGAGGAGATGGTATGATGGGATAACATGATTTTGGCAATTATTTGATCTTTACATATTCATGGTAAATAGGCCCAATGGCCTGTGATGGGATGTTAGATGGGGTGGGATCTGAGTTACTACAGAAAATTCTTTC